TTTCAGGTCAGGTCAAAGATGACGTCACAGGGGTCAAAAAAGTCAAAATGGCGGCGCTATATATGGAGAGTGTTTTTCTCGAATAACTTTCGAACTAGTCAAGATAGAAACAATCTAAGGGCATCATCGTGATCCTCACGTCAATCCGCATCGAATGATATATATGTTGACCTCGAAAGGTCAAGGTCAAAGGTTGACCTCAGGTCACGTGACCTCGAGGTCATCATGTATATCATTCGATGCGTCTTGACGAGCTGAACACAATGAGACCATCCGCGCGGCTGTATCTTGTTCCTGTATGGAGTTATTGGCAAAAAAAAACTTTGGTGACCTTTGATGACGTCACATGACCTTACAGCTGCCCAACAGCAAAACAGACCTCAAGGTAGTGAAGGTTGATCGTATATGAAGTCATGTATGGTATATGGGGCCATTCCGACCCGTTTTAGTGGTAAAAACAGGGAGTTGATTTTTCCTCCATTGACTTATAATGGGGAGGTCAAGAAATTGACCTGACCTTAGGTCACCGATATCAAAATTCCGAGATATACAAGTTGTAGTTACTAATGACTTGATAAGATCCTGCGACTTTCAAAGGCCTCCGACTTCTACTGTAGCTCTGGCACGGTGACAAAGTTGCAAAAAAAGTGACTTGAGGTTGGGTCATTCAAAGTGACCTGGTGACCTGACCTTAAAATTTAGGAGGTTCAAACTTGCACATCATGTGTAAAATTGATGATAGAATAGTCGTACCAAATTTCGCGGCGCTACGCGCCGCGGTTTTCCCGCTATTCGCGGGGGGGGGGCGGATATCCGCCCCCCGTCGGTGCGCGGGTTAAGCTCCACGACGGGATGTGTTCGGACATATACCCACCCCTACTGGATGTGCAGGGCCACCGACGAAGCGAGCTGAGGATCACCGCCTGGTGGTCCTGAGCCCGGTGCAGCAGGGCCCCTCTGGCGTCGTCTCCGATGACAATGAAAACGCTTCAACAATCTAGGCATACACAGGTTTTAGACTTTTTACAGCTATTTTCTCATAACAGGTACGTTTGCAAAGAAATATAATGCTTGGGTAATTTTCCAACTACCATGCTTCCAACAAAAGGAAAAGACAGAGGGATAAATAAAAGGAGCTTCAACATTGCTTGACCCGTTACCGCCCTTGGCGTCAAAAATGGTCGCTGCACTGCACTGGGAGGGCTGACCTGTCCACGTCGTTCATGTGATTGGCTTTCCAGACCCTCTGAGCCGCTGGGAGGGATGCTTGGACTCAAACATGCAGCCCCAAGAGACATCTCTCACAGGAACTAGATTTGGCAGGGTGGCGATTTTCTAACATCACGACGTGAGGACTATCAAAGTCAATTTCCGCTTGCCAATGTTGTCATTATGAACAAAAATGATGTCATAAGGTGAAAGGGAAATGTTCATTCAATCATTCCTATCAAGCCTTATCGCTTTGCTTAATTGGTTTATGGTTTACACCAGCCGCGAAATTTGGATAGACCAATTTCGACATCCCCAATGGGTCACTTTTAATGCACGTGCGGAACAAAGGTTTCAAACTTGTTTCCATTACAAAAGATCGGGAATTACCGTGGCGATCGCGCTACGGTTGGGTTGCTACTGCACGTGCGCACGTGGAGAGGTCGCTTCCAGATCTGGAGAACGGCTGGGCCGATTGCGTTCAAGCTTGGTATCCAGATAGGTACAGTGAAGAGATAACGGGAAAAGTCAGTTTGAACCCAGATTGTTTCTCTCGCCCTCCCTCCCTCCCTCTCCCTCTCTCTCTCTCTCTCTCTCTCTCTCTCTCTCTCTCTCTCTCTCTCTCTCTCTCTCTCTCTATCTCTATCTCTATCTCTATCTCTATCTCTATCTCTATCTCTATCTCTATCTCTATCTCTATCTCTATCTATCTCTCTCTCTGGTCTCTGTCTCTGTCTCTGTCTCTCTCTCTCTCTCTCTCTCTCTCTCTCTCTCTCTCTCCCTCTCCCTCTCCCTCTCCCTCTCCCCCCGGACGGTTCTCGAGCCAGGTCAATCGATTGTGGCCGGGCACCTGAACCGTGTGGGCGTCCCGGTACCGACCGGCGCTCTACCTCCTCCGCTCTGCAAACCGGCCGTGATCGTCTCCCGCTCCTCTCCCCAGCTGTCTGTGACCCGTGGTCGACCCTGTACCGTCCGTCCTAAACCCTGTCAGCAAGAGAGAACATGACCACGCAGCCGTCCTCTCAAAGCGGCGCCTCCAATGGGAGTGTGAGGCTTTTGTAACCGGACCCTACCTACAGACTATGACACGGCTGCTCCACTTTGACTGATGGGTCGCCTCTCGTCGGCTGTGTCCTGTCTAACCACGGGTCTATTTCGGATTTCCCACAGACCAGCGGCGAAGGTTCTTCCTGCATAACCTGAACGACGGCCCCGGTCACCGCAAGACCCTCGACTCGCTGCTGGGAACCAAGTCCCGCCAGGGCTTCGAGCCGCTCGCCACCCAGGATCTAGACGACGACTCAGATAGTGATGTAGAGGAGTTCATCGCTAAGATCAAGTCGCGCACCTGAGAGGTAGGCTTGGACGGTCCGCGATTGGACAGTCCTGGGAGGGGTCAGTGAGGTAGGAGAATTGAGGCGGGTTTCGCGGTGGACAGGACCGCAGTGATGAACTGAAGCGGTGGTGACGCTGGACAGTGGTGACGCAGGTGATGTGTCTCACGGACTGACTGTCGGTGGTACAGTGACGGTACGGTAGTTGTGCTGCGGGAGGTGGTGACTGCCGGCACTGGACCGCAGCACAATGGTGACAGTGAGGATGGTGAGTGCAGTGGACTTCAGTGAAGTGGTGACAGGATGGTGGTTGTGACGAATGGTGCGGAACTTCTGCAACTGCAGTGGTGACAGGTGGTTGTGATGAATGGTGCGGAACCACAGGACAGGACGACTGGAATGGTGTGGCAGAGTGGCTGTATGATTAGCTCACGGCGCTACGCTGCCTTGGCTGGCTGGAATCTGCCACTCCCAGTGCATGGAGCCTGCCCCTACCTGGGCACATGGAAAATGCCCCTGCCAGGGTCTGGAACCTATATCCATGCCAGCGCATGAGATCTGATAACTGATAAGTCCATGTGTCGACCGTGCCATTCTTTCCCTGCCGGTGCTGGCTGCGTCTCACGCAGACCGATACTACTTACGAGTAAGCTGAGAGAACCGACTGCGGTCGCCCTACTTAGCACTATTAGACCGAGACGAAGACGAACACCAAACTACTTACCGGGCTTACAGGGCTGTTTCATTGACACATTCTGTCGTGATGCTTCTTGGCTTTGTATGACTTTTTTCGTACTCCTTGCTTTTACATTCCTTGATGGTCGTGCAGCCTCGTAAAGATAACTGTCACAAACTTAGCCTTAAGCCGTTTTCCAACTCCCAGAATCTGTTATATTTCCACACTACTTACCTTACCTAACCCAAAATGACGACCTGTATGGCTGCTGCACCCATCCGCATCCAACCTTACGGCTACGAACGTTGGCTGCGGGTGCGAGAAAGAGCGATCCACCGCGCCGTCTTTTCTGTGGCCTGTGGTCACCAAATGCGGTCGATAACTGACCGTGAATGCGAGTCGGTCGCGCTCTCATTGCCGCACATCTAGGAACAGTGACGAATTACTGTGTCGAAGGAGAGGGCCGTACAGACCGGTGCACTTACCGGAGACTGTATATAGGGCCTTGCCGGAGACCGGTCTATGCCTTCCTGTTCTCCGCCGATCTGAGTTTTAACCTCTGTCGTAGGCAGGGCTGTCTGTGTGTCTGCCTATTCGTCTGTCCATGTGTTTGGGTAGATGTTCGTCGAGTTTCTCCCCGGCTACCTTATTTGGCGTCGTTCGCCGCTCTATCCGAATCTTTCCATAATAGGCGATGGTGTTTGGTTTCGCTGTTTTTCAGTTGGATGTAAGATGTGGCGACACTGGTATTTTACCCCGTTCGCTGATAGACAGTGACCTTGAAGGAGTAAGGATCTAGGCAGCGAGCAAGTGTTGTTGAAGCCTTTTTTGCTTTTAGCAGCACAATTCTGATGGTGCTGATTTGGAAGGCATTCATACCTAGCACACGGGGTTGTTGGCTGGAATCGTACTATTTTATTCATTGGTTTTGGTATTTTATTTTAATATATTTAAATATCGTTATTAGTGAACAATAACGTGAATAAATGTGAATCTTTCTACGTTTTGTTTTTCGCTTACGTAGTTCGTCAGATCGTTCATATTGAGCGATGTATTGGTACGTTTTCCTGAGCGGTCAGCCCGGGACCCGGCCTGCGGTGTGCCGGGAGTTGGGACCGGCGTGTTATCGCTCAGTGACAGGTGGCGTGTCACAGCTGGGTGTGGGGGCGGTGTGGGAGCGGTGGGCCCGAGCACGCTACCCGGTGGGAGCCCCGAGGGGCCGACGCCATGACTGTCGTGACCTTCAGCGTCTAGCTGCTAGGATTGCGTCTTCCCGCAGTGCGTTGCAGAATCTAGTGATCCCCCACCCTACCGCGCCACTTCACGTGAAACCCGCTCTTCTAGCCTGATGCGAGTTTGATTTTTATGGCATTTTCTGCGCTTACGAGCATGTCGTAAATTTTGGACCAGATTCTGGCGGTGTTAGCAAGTGATAGACTGTTGTCTATTTTTTGTTTAGCTGTGGTGAAGGTGAACAGAAACGATAAAGATTTCTGCATTGCGCGTGCGGCAATTTAGTGTCGATTATTGTGCATTCCTACCAACTACATTACTGTATGCCAGCTGCCATAGCCGGCAGAACGGGGAGGGCACCGGGGCACCGTGCCCCCTTTGATTTTGGCATTTTAACATTAGCCCTATGGGCGTTGCATGGAAAGAATGGAACCAAAAGTCGACAGTGCCTCCCCTTGATTGAAGGTGTTCCGCCGCTATTGCCAGCTGCCGCCAAAGACCGTGATAAGCCGTTCGCTTCGTGGACTAGTTCCTCTGAGAACGTCGTATCAGCCGTTACACAATCTGTATTGAGGTCGATGCTGCAGTCTGCGATCGCGACTTCAAAAATACAGTTCCGAACCTCAACACGTGGACAGAGGAGGTACGGTGAGGAAGCCGGTCAATTCTCTCTGGAACAGATCGACAAGGGAATTCCCAGCGGGCTACCGGACAACACCGACCTTCAGGGGCGTTTAGTGCACCGGAAGATCCAGGAATATTCGCTACGAATTGGCGCCGACATTCCGACTCATGTAATGCAAATTCGCAGTTTCTCAAGCAGCCATCTGTTGTTTTCTGGACTGGCTTTCGATTTATTCACGGAAGAGAACCCGGTTAGCAAAGGTAATCGCACGTAACAGTCTACATTCTGTATTTTGAATGACTTGAAATAATCAGCTTGCTGCATCAGGAAACCGCAGTTTGAGTAAACAAGACGTATCTACACCGTGACACTTGACTACAAGCCCTTGACTACAAAGACGGTTAACACTACCACACATCGTCACAGAACAGGGAACGATTACGTGACATGGCGCGGGCACATGGAACAAGCTCCGTGGAACAGACGGCGGCTCACTGGAATCCATCACCACCATCCCAGCCTCAGCCCAGCGCGGTCTTACGGTAGTTCTCGACCTCGCCTCCAAGGAAACGCCTCCTTCAACAATATCAACACCCTCCATAAAGCGATAAGAAGCGTTATTGTTACACATTACAAAAATAGCACACACACGCATACAATAGAGGTGGGCTGTTACATAAGCTCTGTGTCGCTCTGCGCCGCGCAGCACGGAGCCACCGCCGACAGCTACCTCCTGGCTCTTGGCTCGGAGCTGGGCTCTTGGCTTATTAAGCTCCCGCTAGACGGCGCTAAGGACGCTCATAGAAATCCGGCTGCAGCACGAACTTTGAGACGCGGGCGGGCACCAGCTCACCGACATAGGTGGTGCGTCCGTCGGAGGTCACGGCCAGATCGTGGGGCTCGTTCAGACCCTGATCAGGCACAAAGAATCGCTGTCAGATCATGGGACTCGTTCAAATATTGATGGGGCACACGGGGTCATTCAGGTCATGGGGCTCGTTCAGACCCTGAGGGAACATACGGGGTCAGTCAGGTCATGGGGTTCGTTCAGATTCAGACCAAGATGGGACGCACATCATGGGCGTCGAACCTAGAGACTCGTTCGAAACATGAGGCAACACACTGAAGTTCAGATCATTGCACTCATTCAGGCGTGAATAGTTGCGTTAGTATCATCGACATCAAGAGTACTTGCAGCTATTGGACCGAACTGCAGTGAACTGGTGCAATGGCGCGGAAAACCAACTGAGACTCTCGCTCGCACCGATAACCGCTCGTAAAATCACTCAGATGAAAAGCGATGAGATGAGATCCTCCTACGTGTATCCGGTTTCTAAGAGCATTTGCCGTGAAATGGCTCATGGTGGTGGTCGGTTGGCCCAATCCCTGTGCCGTCTGTCATTCCCAGGTAAAACGAATATTTACGGTCTTCACAGCTGCACACGAGATTTCTGAGTAATGTAGGCGAGCTGGCGAGCCGAAATCGCCGTGTAATGGAGGATTTCCAGCAGCTGTGCACAGACAGCGCTTGGCCCACAGCAGGGGCGCGGCTCGGGTCCAGAAATAGTTACCCGTCTGAACACCGTCATTCTTTCTGAAACTCCTCACACAGATGGCCATCATCCCCGCCCACTGTTCAAGTTGGACGGCCCGACATCAATTTCCGCGTGGGCTATAACGGTATGGCGGCAAGCATTGTCGCTGTACCTCGTCTAATAAATCGTGATTGAACGATTAATATCCGTCAGTGGGGGGAAATCTCAGTGATGTGTTACCCAGAAAGAAGCCATTCCGCGCAGCCCTTGCTCATCGATCCGCGCCATGTGGGGTTATGTGCCCGGTACTGATCGTGTTATGAGCGCTCGTCAGCGCCAATGCGTGTTATCCAGAATTGGAGGATCAAAAGCATGCGATAGCATGCTTTTGCATCCGGAAATTCCCATTGGTGGGTCGCTGAAAAAAAGTTCGGCTGAACCTGTTTGTCAGTGAGTGAGTATGTGAGTATGTGAGTGAGTTTGTCCAAGCTTTTTTGGACCTGGAGTCAAAATGGGTGGACCGATCGGGACGAAAGTGGGACCGTTTGATTCGTCTCCGGCGAGGTAAACTTTTGGTGCTGGCCTCGGTTCGCTCGGTGCTTCGTGGCACATGCTATTCCGCTTCAAAGTTTCGGTGACACGAAATTTTTTGTCAAGGCTACAGGTCAACCCGAAGTCACGGGCAAAGCCATACTGGCGGGACACATCGGTAACACCTTGAACCAGTTTCCAGGGGGGTCACCGTCTGCGAGGGGTGCAGGCTGCACGTGCTGGGGTCGGAAAACCGTTTTGACGTGAGGTCCTCTGGCTCAAAGAAATTTTAAGCTATCAACCTCAAAATCGGTTCAATGGTAGTCCCAGGCAAGGCCTCCAAAATAATGCACATTTCATTGGGCTATGGATCCTCCAATTCTGGCCCAAGGCAACGCACGAGCGCTGCCGGCATCTAGTTTTAACCGACGGCATGCGGATAGGAACCGCATTTAGAATAAGGCATGGGTATTTCCCTCATTTGAAATTTTGAACTCATGGCAACACAAACATATACAGCCCCTCAAACCTTCAACCACTGACATCGGTCTGTTGACCATGATTCAGCATCCCACCTGACTCGCTTTCACCTTCACACCTCTTGTAAGATTCCTCGGCTGGTATTCCAGTGTTTTATCTCACCACCTCACACCTGTCCCTCTCTATCTCACTGTGGCTCACTGTGTCTCACTGTCCCACTCCGTCTCACACAGTATCTTACCTGAGCGGCCACCCAGCTGTCCAGCACCAGCCCGGTGACCAGGTCAATGGTCAGCACTCCGCCGCCCGACAGACTCTTGAACACCGCCAACAGCACGTCTCCTGGGGGTGCAGCCAGTCGGTCAGTTGTAACGTAGTTATGGCTTATAGGTAACGTTTACATGCATCTAATTACTAACTGGCGCAGGAAGTTCGAGGAAGGGGCCAAGTTTCAACAATATCTAACGGCGATTACGATAAGACTTAACAAAGTAGTATGGATGTGCAATGCGCAGCATCGTTCTAGCGGACTGATTATGTGGAACGGTATGACCGGTGCGATCCTTGCAGCTGTGTTAATATTCATTTGCTGCTGACGAGATATTCATTATCAGACGATGAAGGTCTCTGAAATAAACAAAGGAGCTCACCATATAGAAACATTCACATTTGAAACGACCTTTGAATTGCAATAAAGTTCGTCGTTTATGACCATGACCAACGGCCGAGGCCCTGTCAGGCCCATCCCATGTCTGACCTGTGACCGAAACGGCGTAGATGCGGCCGTAGAGGGCCAGATTGATGATCTGCGGCTGCAGCAGGCGCTGACGGATGTTCCAGCAGACCACTCGGCCGTGCTCCCGGTCCGCCACGCAGAGCACGCCGCCGTCCAGAGAGAGCGAGTGGGGCACCAGGAGGTCAACGCCCTCTGAGGGAGAGGGGAGGGGTTCGGTCAGGACCTAACACAGCGAGGGCGAGAGGGGCATCAGCAGGTCAACGCCCTCTGAGGGGAGAGGGGAGGGGTTCGGTCAGGACCTAACACAGCGAGGGCGAGAGGGGCACCAGCAGGTCAACGCCCTCTAAGGGGAGGGGGTTTGGTCAGTACCTAATGCAGCGAGAGAGCGAGAGGGGTATTAGTAGATCAAACAGATAGTAGGCGTCAGAGGGTGAAGTCAGAAGTTAAGAAGTCTCCCAGTGCGACACGGGTTAAGTAGCTTTTACTGTTGGCAGCTGAAGCCTTCGAGAAATGTGATTACCCCGATGACTGCACTCACGCTCCTCTCCGAGGCTGCCCAGGAAGCGTCCCTCGCGGTCAAATATCATGATGCGGCGGTTGCAGTAGCCGTCGGCGACGAAGATGGTGCCGTCCTCGGCCACGGCCACGTCGGTGGGCTTGCAGAAGTGGGCCGCGTCGCTGCCCGGCTCGAACGGTACCCCCAGGGTAAGGATGGGCGTGTCCGAGTCGGGAGGCAGCTGTGGAGGGGGAGGGAGGGGTCAGAGGTCAACTGAGGTCACCTCGGTCAACTTTAGGGTTTTTGGTTTCACAGTAAGTGAGCCGATGGACGGTCCTATATGCATAGCTGGCAGGTCGAGCGATACAAAACCTATGGCCATCAACATATGGGCCGGTTCAGTGATTACATAAGCGTACTAAGCAGATATGGATGTAATGCAAAAGTAAAATTCGAATTCATCAAGCACAGTGTAGCTGTTCCTTCTAGCTGGCAATGACATTCGTTCGAAAAACCTTTCAGGCTCAGCTAGAATCAAAGAAACAGCTAGCGGATGTCCATACAAGACGCCACAAGATTAATCATCCGTAGCCTGAAAAAGCCGGCTTATGTACAGTGTACTAACTAGCACGGTCTGTCAGGCTTAGAGCTCTGATAATGCTTATATAACCCCAGGTTGTAATACTTTTCTGCTACACTACAGAACATGTATTGAATGCTGAATAGCGCTCCACCAACGATTAAACAGTTTTCATTCAGCGTCAACGTACGCTACCGTCCACTAGCCGGTTATTCAGTACGCAACTAAGAAATACCGTACACCGGTATTGGCAGCTATTCGACTGTCAACGGACAGTTGCATTCACTTTTGACGAGCCCCCAATAGTAGCACCCGTTCCTTCCAGAGATACATACGGACGCTGGAAGAGAGTAAGCTCATAAGTGTACGACACAACCCGTCCAGTGCCCACATACGCTTGCATGCGGATAGGTACCATGGAAGAATGGACTAGAGTTCAAATGACAGATCACAGCGTTCTAATTCAGGGGTCCTTTCGACTCGATGTCCTTCAAGGCTGAGTCCTTTGGGGGGTCCTGCGGACCCCTCCCCCCGAGGGAAGTCCTAGATACGTCACTGGCACAGCCAAACCCGACACCTACCAGCGCTGTGACCCCTCACCCGCCTCCCCTCCGCTCCGTCGCGTCCGCCGCAGCTCACCTTGAACACCTGGTGGAGAGCCACATCAGTGATCCACCGGTTACCCGCCGCGTCGATGTGTAGCCCGTGCGGCAGATAGAACCGGCCGGAGCCCTCACTCTTCAGCACTGCGCCCGTTCCCGGGTTCAGTGTGAGCAGTGTGTGACTCAAGATCGGACCCCGGGCCGCGTCCTGGTAGTGCTGGCTTTTGTTGAATGACCTGTCGGACAGGTCCGGTCCGGGTCAGGTCAGGGTCAGGTTCAGGTCAAGTCAGGGGGTCAGGGTCAGTTAGGGGCCAAGGTCAGATAAGGGTCAGGGATAAGTTAGATTCAGATACTCGAAAGGTCAACATAATTACCAAACTCTGCAGTGTGACACCTGTGCTTCAGCTCTCAACCGAGGTAATGCAAACACAAGGTAACCACCAAGTTTATGGCTACGGCCTTATCAGTTGCTGAATTAACCCAGTTCCAGTAGGTCTGTGCTAGATAAGCAGGCACTTCAGTTCCGCTACGGCTCCCTTGGGGTGTACTTTAGCCCACCAGGCGTATGTACGCTGTTGGACGCAATAGGCGGCCGTCCCCGTCCGTTCGGAATTGCGCCTTTGTTGGATCGATGGGAGAAGCGATCTGGGTCGGGCCAACGTACTTTGTAACATGTATCCAATGCGCAGCATCGCAGAGGTCAATATACGCAGCAAATGTCGGCCGAACTCGGGGGCGTAAAAATACACTGTCATTACGAGTATCAACTGCAATTCCAGTAAACGATAATCGGGATACATTTATTTGGCTTTGGCTTCTGAAAAATGCTACTGGACGGCGCAGTCACAGCAGAAAGGAAGCGAGACAGCTACTGCTACGGTGCTGAATAGTGCCGAGAACGATAAAAAGTGGAAATGGTGCCTTTGTTGAAACTAAAAGTAAATTTCTAAAGGAAATTATTTTCAACCCCAGGCCTCAGCGTTCCATTGAAATGTTATCTCGTCAGAAATATTTAAATATTTTATAGTTTAAGTAGAATTGAGAACTCAAGTAGCCTACCGAGTGGAACGAATTAAAAAGGACAAAGCTCTTCCAGTGACTACCGTGTATCACTGAACTGTGCACGGAAAATGCCAGTCTTGCATAACGGTTTTGATACCCGGTCTTGCTATAGAGAAGTCTATGGCACGGCATCAAGACATCAAGTTTCTAAAAAAAAAGCTAAGTAGGGAGACCCGGGAGGTATGGGCCCCCTGGAGGTATGGGCCATCGCCGTTTTGAAGAAGTTTAGCGTATTGTTTGCAATTTGACCGCTTAATCTGGTAGCAGCCATTTCGTTATACAACCCACGTGATTTCCGAAATCTTCCCCAGTCTCCTTTGGCAATGAGCGGTGATAATGCGTTTTTGCCCTCCTCAAGTAAAATCCGGTATATACAGAAAATTCGTGATTTATGTGAACCAGGTTTGTTTTATAATGTCACACCATCGCTAACATAAAGTTCAAAGCATGCAAATTAAGACTGGGTTGACTATATGAAACTTGTTTGCAAGATTATAAGCTGAGATGCTGCGCACATTTTGGCGTCCTAACCGGGAGGTTCGGGCCACCCATCCCCGGGAGGTTCGGGCCGGCCCATACCTCCCGGTTCAGCTCTGCCATGGGACAAGGGCTATCAAATGAATATTTAAACGTGTAACAATTTGATTGAATTCCTCAGTGATGACAGAATGTGCAGGAATTTTGCACCTTTGCATCAATTATGCAGCATGATTGATGCACAAGAACATGTTTGTGTAGCCGGGTGTTCGAGCTCCTCCCTACCCCTCCCCTTCCTCGCCGCCAGGCGGGTCGGCCGTTCGCGGCCCGCCGCTCGCCTGCTGCCGGCCGGTCAGTCAGCTGAGCGCCCGCGGCTGCCTGTGCTGTGCGGGTTGCCTACCTGCGAGGGGCCGTCTGGCTCCGTGCAGCGCCGGCCGGGATGGACATTGGACAGTGAGAGTTGGTCGGTGACCTGCGCTAGTCTCCCGTTAGTTTCTGAGGAAGGGTGATGTGAGCTTAGCGGAGATTGTGTTGTATCGGCATTCCCCAATAATTTACCTTCACAGTGGGTGTCAGACTGTCAGTGTCATGCCGCAGACATGGCAGCGAACGACGACGAAGGGGTCGTTTTCAAACTCGGATCTCCAGACGGCGATCGAGCGCATCCGGAGAAAGGAGATCAGCATTCGGGAAGCTTCCCGAACGTACAACATCGGACGGCAGACTCTCGACCGGTACCTCCAGGCCACACCGGAGGGAGAACAGGCTAAGAAGGTGTCGAAGACCTTCTCTAACACGGTCTTCAGCCAAGACGAAGAAAAGAGCCTGTTCGACTACGCGGAAAAGAGTGCGGCCATGCACTTCGGCCTCACCAGTAAGGCCTTGGCCGAGCTCGCCTACGACTACGCTAAGAAGCTGGGAAAGAAGCTTCCCAGCGGCTGGGAGGATAACAAGGCTGCTGGCGAGGAGTGGTGCTTCGCTTTCCGGAGAAGAAGCGGACTCTCCCTCCGGACTCCAGAAAACACGAGCATTGCTCGGTCTCAAGCATTCAACCCAACCAACGTTCAGCGCTTCCATGAGGCCCTCTCCGCTGCACTCCTCGAGCACGATTTCGGCCCTTGCTCAGTCTGGAACCTCGACGAGACAGGAATCACAACTGTCACGAAGGCGCCCAAGCTGCTCAGCCCGACCGGAACCCGTCAGGTAGGAGCCGTTGCAAGCGCTGAGCGGGGAGTTCTCATCACCGTGTGCGCTTGCGTCAGCGCTGCGGGCCGAGCGCTCCCCCCGGTGCTGCTGTATCCGCGAAAACGAGTGCAGCCTCACTGGGCGACCGACGCTCCACCGGGATCACTCATCCTCGCGAACGACTCGGGCTGGATGGACAAGGAGACGTTCCCTAAGGCGCTTTCACACTTCATCAGCCACATGGGCGCCACGGAGCAGAACCCGCAGCTCCTCGTATTCGACAATCACTGCTCCCATGTCACCCTCCAGGTCATCAACATCGCCCGGGGGCACGGGGTTGTGATTGTGACGCTGCCGGCGCACTGCAGCCACCGAATGCAACCTCTCGATGTGTCGGTGATGGCGCCGTTCAAGACATTCTACTCTGAGGAAATAAACGCCTGGCACCACCGCAACCCAGGCCGGACAATTTCAATCCACGACCTCGCCGCCCCGGTCAACAAGGCCTTCACCCGCGCCTTCTCCATGGTAAACATCATGGCGGGATTCGCAAAGTCCAGCGTCTGGCCTCCGAACCCGACGGGCTTCACCGACGCGGACTTTTTGGCTGCTCTCTCGTCCCCTGCCCCTGCTCCCACGGGGGAGACATCGAACACGGAGAGAGCGGCCCCGTGGTCGGCCGAGCCAGGACCGTCGACGCCGATGGCAGTGACGCCACAAGAGATTCGCCCGTTCCCCGTTGCTTGCCCCCGCATGCGAGGGTGCGGAAGAGGGCGCGGCAAACGCTTTCCCGTTATCCTGACGTCCAGTCCGGAAAAGAAGAAGCTCGAGCAAGCCACCGCCGCCGCCAAGGCTCGCCCGAAGGCCAAGAAAATTCAACTGGACGAAGAGAAGCAGAGAGAGGAGCAGATAGCGGAAGCGGAAACGAGCGACAGCGGCGCCGACGTCGACCGTGCTGAGATGGAGGAAGAGAGGGTCGGGCTCCTCAATGACCGCCGAGCCGGTCGCCGAGCTCTCCCCCGCGCAGATGAAAATGGGCGACTTCCTCCTCGTGGCCGTCAGAGGAGCCGGGCGACGGGGCACGGTCACCTCCCGCTACGTCGTTCAGGCCCTTGAGGCCTTCGACGAGGATGACCCGGACTGGATCCGAGTGCACGGGTACCGAGCTCTCAGTCAAACGGTCTTCTAGTCGATAAATGAACTTGCGTTTTTATGAGTTAAGAAAACTGCCATGTGGTCACGGGTTGATGACCTCAAGCAATAGAAATTATTGTGTTCATTTAATGATCTCTACTGTCATGTGGTCAGAGGTTGGCCTCAAGCAATCGAAACTGATGTGTTCATTTTATGATCTGTACTGTGGTCACAGCTTGATCACAGGTGATGACTGATGACCTTAATCAATAAACCGATGTTTTCATTGAATGTCCTCTTCAATAAGTTATCTTTTGTCGCGCCCGCGTGTGCTCGCAAATTTAACCAAAATTGCATTCGAACATTGAAACATTTTTGTCTTATGTCAAGGAATGTGATTGATTTTATCAAAATAAATATGTGGCCAAGTGACCTCCATGAAGTGGGTTCTTGGTCGTTTATGCGGTACCTGAGCTCTTGTAAAGCTCAAGAACGCTCCCAGCTACGAGCATTGTCCTCAATGACGAGAATAAAATTCGAAACATGACACCGGCCCATACCTCCCGGTCCATGGCCCATACCTCCCGGGGTATTTTGATGAGTCGAAAAAGCGCATGATTTATTTAAAGTTATCTTCAGACAAAATAGTTGATTCCAGATGCCTGATATGGGGTACACTTTACAGGCAAAAGGCAATTCCCCGTACCAAGGGTGAAAAACCAGGTCTAGCCACTAACCACAGGAAGAAAATTGTCATTTCACAAAACCGGCCCATACCTCCCGGGTCTCCCCTACGCCATTTAATTCACATGACACAAACCGACTAACGGCTCATCAGCAGGAGCAGACCAGGAACAAGCAAGGGCACCAGGTTAATGTCGGAGAAACAAGTGACCGAAAAGTCGCGTGAATGCTAACGCATCTGGCGAGGCGATGTCCGCACAGCCACACCACATTGGGTGCGTACTGCGTATATTGTAACAGTAGGTCCTTGCAATGCGAGAAACTCCCAGCACCCCCCAGTTGTGGTTGGCCCGGTGGAAGATGACCAAGCAGTAGGACAATAAGTCTCAGTAGCGTGGACTGTGGAATGTGAATTGTGTGGACTGTGGACTGTGGACTGCAGGGTACTCACATCGCCGTCCAGCTGCGGTTGGCCGGTTAGAAGATGGCCCAGCAGTAGAACGACATCACACCAGTGTGGACTGTGTATAGAGTGTGTTGACTGAGGATTGTAGAGTGTAGAGTGTGGAGTACTCACGTCGCCTCCCAGCTGTGGTTGGTCCGGTGGAAGATGACCCAGCAGTAGGACGACATCACACCAGTGTGGACTGTGGACTGTGGAGTGTGTGGACTGTGGACTGTGAAGTACTCACGTCGCCTCCCAGCTGTGGTTGGCCCGATGGAAGATGACCGGTCGGTCCAGAGTGTCGACGGCGACTCCGCTGACGGGGCCAACGTTCAGCGGTCGACGCGGCCAGTGGCCCTCGGCCATCGGCGACGGCACATCGGGCACCTCCATCTGAGGGTAGGGGGGAGGATCTGTCAGAAAAGGTCTGTCGGGCACCTTCATCTTAGGGGGAAGGGGAAGGGATGAGGACAGGTCACAGACGGCACCTCGGGTACCCTATGTAACTTTATCTCAGGAATGAGGATATTGTCGGCAAGGACTGTGATTATTGACTGTTCCGGAAGTGTTTCCGGAGAATCTAACCAAATTGCAGCATGAAAGAATATGGTCATCACAGGAAATAAAAATTATTTTCGAGCGGCGAGGAACATCAAAATATATCGTGTATAACAAGTGTAGTGATTACGCGGGTAGCATCATTGTCATTCCAAGAAAACGTCTGCATCTGGCGACCAGAGTACAGGAAATTCAAAAGAATCCCGAACTACTTTGACGAGGTAGAGCCTCTTCTCTTTCACTGATAAATGTAATGCATACATTTATCTGCATATATAGGTGCGAGCATATATGAAAGCAATTTCACACATCTTGAAACACCCATCACACAGATCCAAATGAACGGCAAAAATAATGACACTGTCACACTGAAGGCCTAAGTGCAACAGGCTCGTCGACTGCCGCCCTGGCCACCCACCGGCCATTGAGACTTGTTGGTTGCGGGCCGCCCGCATCTAACCGCCACCATATGGCGGTCGATCCCCACTCACCATCGAGTCCAGCACTCCATCCAGCTGGCTGTAGAGCTGCGGCAGCTGCAGCTGCAGATTGGCTGGATACAGAGCAGCTGGTCGGCCCGGGCGGACCGCCAGCAGCAGCAGCAGCAGCGCCGACAGGCCGGCTGGCGACCCCGCCATCCTCACTGCACCTGCAACACTGCCGACCGACGCTACCGCCGACGGCACCGGCACCCGGCGCGGCCCACGCAACCTGGCGTCGTCATGGTAACGGGTGTGACGTCACTGTTGGCCATCGATCGACCCTGGACGGACAGGTCACTGAGTCGCCGCGCGTCATTGGTCCGAACGTCCGAACACAAACACCACATCGGCGTCGGTCTAGGACAGGAGATACAGGACTATGTCAACAGTGCGGGCGGAGATTACAGGGAACATGGGAGAAGATAGGTTGAACATGCGCGCAGACAAATAACAATTTAGGCTCCTGTCGCTATATTTCATTTAATCCTTGTGTTCATAGTGCTATACCTACGTTAACCCGCGCACCGACGGGGGGGGGGGGGCGGATATCCGCCCCCCCTGAGGTTTTTCGCGAATAGCGGGAAAACCGCGGCGCGTAGCGCCGCGAAATTTGGTATGACTATTTCCTTATCAATTTTACACATGGTGTGCAAGTTTGAATCTCCTACCTTTCAAGGTCAGGTCACCAGGTCACTTTGAATGACCCAACCTCAAGTCACTTTTTTGCAACTTTGTCACCGTGCCAGAGCTACAGTAGATGTCGGAGGCCTTTGAAAGTCGCAGGAGGTTATGAGGTCATTAGAAGCTACAATTTGTATATCTCGGAATTTTGATATCGGTGACCTAAGGTCAGGTCAATTTCGCGACCTCCCCATTATAAGTCAATGGGGGAAAAATCAACTCCCTGTTTTTACCACTAAAACGGGTCGGAATGGCCCCATATACCATACATGACTTCATATACGATCAATCTTCACTACCTTGAGGTCTGTTTTGCTGTTGGGCAGCTGTGAGGTCATGTGACGTCATCAAAGGTCACCAAAGGTTTTTGGCCAATAACTCCGTACAGGAACAAGATACAGACGCGTGGATGGTCTCATTGTGTTCAGCTCGTCAAGACGCATCGAATGATATACATGATGACCTCGAGGTCACGTGACCTGAGGTCAACCTTTGACCTTGACCTTTCGAGGTCAACATATATATCATTCGATGCGGATTGACGAGAGGATCACGATGATGCCCTTAGTTTGTTCCTATCTTGACTAATTCGAAAGTTATTCGAGAAAAACTCTCTCCATATTTAGCGCCGCCATTTTGACTTTTTCGACCCCTGTGACGTCATCTTTGACCTGACCTGAAAATGACCTTAGTAAAAATTGTAGATCTTGACCGTGCGTATCCGATGCCGTTTACCGCTTGTCGCTATCTTGCTTCGTTCTCGAGATCTCAGGGGGGGCGGTCATCCGCCCCCCCCCCGTCGGTACTAAGTTGGCGCAGACCCCCGTCGGTGCGCGGGTTAATGGGCACCCATTGTTTTAAATAACAGTCACCGCACACCGTAGGTAATAGCTAATAAAGCTCCCTATCCTCTCCGGTAATAGCTGTTATTATACACCGTTTATCATCTGGATTCATCATTTAGTCCGATGTCATTCCTGCTTCGCAACGTTACGTACGAGCCACGGGCGGCCGCCGCCTCAGGCCTTGCGGTGCAGCATAGCCATCCAGGCGTTTGCTACTACTGCCATCTAGGAGCGATATGCGCAAGCGCAGCGAGCCCACCGGCACAGCCTACCACGCCAGGCTTGTATACTAGCGCCATCTAGGAACGGGAAAGTAAGTACCCAATAGCTTACGGAGTCCAACGTTCCGGGTTCACTCCGTATGAAGGGTTCAGCTTAGTTCAGATCACACGCTTGGAGGAGTCAGACTTCCGACAAAGCAAACAAATACACATATCATTGCTCCGCAAAGGAATGCTACACAGGAGGGCAGATCATCCCAGTTAAATATGTATATTATTGGCTGTAACAATTGCTGAAACAACACTAACGAATGTTTAATCATTGCTAAGCTAAATATAAAGCAACTTAAATAACAGGTACATGTTCAAACGCTCACAAAACAGCTAGATAGTTGTCATTCACCGCATTGACAAATAGCTCAAGTAATGCGAATAAAAATGAACGGTGAGCGTAGTGTTCGCTTTAGTAAGAAAATCTTGGATAAAGAAGTTAGAAACATATTTTCCGTGACATCGAGAAAAGTAACCTATTTGTATGATTTTGATTATAGAGTAGCTTATAGTCAGCTATGCTAAGATTATTCGCATATCCGGTGTGGTTCGGTTCGACCGGCTATGGCTATCCATATTCAGACATATTCCGGCCACCATAATAAGTTGCCGCCAATAGCACGTTCGCGAACACTTGCATACAAGAATAAACAGCACTATCAACAGCAACAACAACACTCTGCATGTCATACAACCGCACTTCAGGCTAATGCAAAACACAATCTACGTTGGCATGGCTTCAGATATCCCGGAAATAGCGAAGGGGTCTCATACTCAAATGGGATAGCTCACCCAAAATGTTTGGCCTTGGGTATGATCCAATAAGTCCACAAGGTCTGTGAACTGCAAACCTAGTTTGTAGTGGTGTAAATTGAGATTGAAATGAGCACGAAAACATCTTCCAAACGAACGTCGCTCTGATACAAACACCTGTACCCTGTTCTATTCGCCTCGATAACCTGCTTTTCTCAGCGTAACACCCGGACCTAACTACAGCCACGCCGATGCGTGGACAGATGGCAGCACTAGGAGAGCAGCGACCAGCGCGTTTCCGGCTGCATCCAGATGTAACCGGTGCTCGACATGGCGCAGCGGGCGTTGTAGTACTTCCCCGGCGATCGGCAGTAGGAGAACTTGGGGCAGCGGCACTTGAACATGGGCTGGAATTCCTCCTTGCACAGCTCGTTCCACCAGCACGCCCTCTGCCGGGAGAGGGAGAGGGGGAGACTGGGTCAGGTTGGTGGCTCCGCTGGAAAATGAAACGCAGGCTATTTACCAAACACCTTACGCCGGCCTAGGGAGGCATTTCACCGTTCCAGCATTTCCATCCTCAGGACAATAAAATCCTTCTCCACTCCCCAACCTGGGGAGTCTCGGGCCGTACGAGCAACTTCATCTCATGCGGGCAGCTCCATCGGAGCACGCCCGCAGCTGCGGTGACTGTCAGGGTGGGTGCCGGGTGGCCTGTCCTCTGGACGGGCTCGGCCCAGGTGACTCACCAGGGTACTTGCCCAGACCGAAAGGGCCTAACCCAACAAAAAGGAACTCGGACAAGATCCTAAACACCTTACACCGGCCAAGGAATGTATTTGATAAACTGATAATGCACTGCATTGTATCAGACCTTCACGAGTCACTTTTATCCTCGTGTCTGTCACATGTCGATAGCCTAGCACTTTCTAGCCTTTGATGTCCTTGTTCCGGGATGAGGGTCAATCTACCAGACAAACGTAGGTAGCCCAGTTATGTATTCCAATTACCCCCAGCGGGATGGGTCAATTTACGACCCTCGTCTAAAGTGAATAATGTACGACAGTACCACCATTTTTGCATGAGTGACGTGCGATTAAACGGTCCATTCTCATCTGAAAATTGTACAAATTTACGTTCTATTTTCATTAAACCAATGTAGTTAGTAGGACCGAACTCACCACTCGCACTCGAACAATGCAAAACGTAACATACATACAACTCTAACCCAGCTAATGCACGATTTAACGCCCTTCCCTCACTTCACTTAAGGATAAGGGTGCCACCATATGCACCTTTCTCTTCTAGCTAATATGCGCTTGAACATTCCTTTCTCACCTGACTGATGTAAGACCTGATGCTCTGGTCTGGCAGAGAACGTGGTGCTCCCATCGCTGGTGCCGCCATCGCTAGCACCATCACCACCAGAAGAAGTGACGGCAGAAACTGTAGGGCAGCCCTCGGTGTCTGTAATCCTGGCCGTGCCATTGCCGGGTGCTTGTACCGACCGCCGACGGATGGACTGGCAGACTGACAGGCCGACAGACGGACCGGCGGCAGACCCACGGTGAGCTGGTGACCTCTCAAGGCCACATCGTCGCTCCGAAGTTCAGCTGGCAAGCCGGGACTGGAGACGAAACCACTGTGAAACCGAACGACAAACACTGAAAGATACGCACGCGTGATGTTGGTTATCATCAATACTGGATTTCGCCTATTGACCGTTATTAGATGTTTGTGCAATCGTGTCCATAGGTAACGCATGGACAAAGATCAGGACGTCACGGAAAATGTCATTAAGTTATCTAACAGCTGTCGTAATATGGTAACACGTAACACTTGGGTGTTGGAGCGAAAGTTTGGACCAACACCATATGGAACAATCACCGTAAGCATAAACATGTAAGACAAGGAAACACAGCAGATCAACAGGTTTCCACAAACAACGCACAATCTAATAACGGTCTATGTAGGGGCTCATAAACACGGTAATGAATGAATAACTCACCACCTCCCTCCAATACACGACCCACACCATCCCTTTCCTCTCACCCTCCACTCCTTTCCATCTCTCCCACCTGTTTCCTAGGAGCGCGTGGTCGACCCGACGGCGGCCGCTGCTCGGTAAACACTCAGCCTTGACCAAGACCACTGCGGCGGCGGCCGCGGTGCCGTGACGAGCCGACCGCGCGTCTGAAGATCGATCCAGGGGCGGCTGCCAGGGGGGCCGGGAGAGGGGACAGAGCAGCCGGAGCAGAGAGCGGGGGCATTGTCCTCAGAGGCGCCAGGAAGGAACAGGCACCGGATGGTGAGGAGTGCCATGAGTAATCAGCTGGAATGGGGCCAGAGGAAAAGGGATGTGGTACAGCGATTGGACTGGGGTGGCAGATTGAAAGGCCGCTCAGCTTTGGTGCAGTAACAGCGCCACACAATCAACAGTTCTGGTCTCTGGGTTTAGGGCTATCACACGAATGGTAACTGATCCGAACATTTGTTAGGGTTCCCTGGGTTCACAGAGGTATTGTCGACCCTTGGAGGAGTGATGCCGCGCACTGTGAATTCTTCCGAATCACCTTCCCCTCCACGTATGTCAATTCAGCACAGCCATTCACTTAAAACGAAATATAAATTAAAACTAGCAGACATAACTATTTAGAGCAGCAGTCTTTTCCATCGCAACCTCGCCCCCCCCCCGAAATTCGGATAATGGGTTCAAATAGAAGTGTTAATTCAATCGAATGATATATTCATTGCACACTCCACTGTTCGATGATCATACCGAAAAATAAACACCTCCAGGGTTCAACATTTTCCTTCATTGCTGGGCCACTTCATTGTACATCCACCACACTAAAACACAGATGGTAGAGCCAGCAATCATATATTTTTTCTAAGACTCCGTCCCGGTCAGGATTCACCCCGACAGACCACCGCAGTGTCACGATTTACCGGGTAGGAATCGAATGAATCACAGCGGAGGCTTCTTTGGATGGAGCTTGGAGAGCGCGGACTGGCGAGACCTCGGTACTGGCGGCACGGCCAGTCCCTCCGCCGGCTGTGCTGGGGTGAGCGTGCGCGGGAGTGCATGGTCTGACCAATCACAACCTGTCCCAGCGGCCGTCCGGAGCTGAAATAGGGTGGATAGATCAGAAGGTGGCCCGGGGTCAGCTTTCCCGACGTCTGATGATGAGTTATGGATTCGGGCGCGGGGACTGCCGGGGTAATCGACACCGCACATCGGGTCTTAAAAAGGAGTAAGATTGGACACCGAAAGAATCAAAGAACATCTGCCAATTTCCAGCATTTAAAATGGGAATTTGCCAAAGCGCCTGTGCGATTAACAGTCACAATAGGACATTACCCTAACCCTATTCTCTGATCAACTAAACACATAATTGATAATTGGACGTTCTTCTCGAGCATCTTTCCCTCCCGTACCCCCACCGCACTCACCGTCGCCGTCGCTCGGTGCGTGAGCCGCGGCTAGAACTCCTCCTCTGCGTGCTGACTCTTCACGTCCCGCAGGTGCTTGAAGCGCTCCACCACGTGACTGACCGGGTGCTCTCCGTGCACCTTGTTGTCGCGTGTACGCACATTCACGGTGCCATTGCTCTGCTCCTTCTCCCCCACCACGAAGATGAAGTTATACTGTGCCAGCTGCGCGTTGCGGATCTTCTTGTTCATGGTATCACCGGCGTCGAGGTCTGCGTCACAGCAGAAGCCGGCGGCGTGCACCTGGTCCCGCACCTGTTCGGCGTAGGCGTCGTAGGCGGGTCCGACGGGCACCACGGCCGCCTGGCGGGGGGAGAGCCAGAAGGGCCACTTGCCGCCGTACGACTCGGTGAGGATGGCGATCATCCGCTCCACGGAGCCCAGCACGGCGCGGTGGATGATCACCGGGCGCTTCTTCTCGCCGCTCTCACTGTGAGGGGGAGATGGGACAGAGGGTTAGATGGGGAAGGGAGAGACGCGGAGGGATTTTACGAGCCAGCCATTCAGGCAGGAGAGACGATATCAGAGTAGCAGCAGCCGAGAGTGTTAGGCATGACGCTTCAGACTATCAAAAAGAATATGTACAACGCTAACAAATAAAGCGTAGTATACGGCGCACGGTATCTCAGCTTTCGACTTCCAATTTTTAAACAGTTTTCTTTCAGTTAGCAGCGATCAAACACCAGGCATTACGTCAAAACAAAACACAAAACACAAAAGAGCTATTGGAAAGGAGTATGCAAGACAAACACGCCGAATATGGCATTCCTCAAATTCTCACTCTGATACTATTCCCCAAAGCAAGTGGCGCCACCTCCACCTAATTCCCCAATGCTTGTCGCTCTCTATTCCCGCCCTCAACTATCACAACTGGAATTCCACATCAGGAATCCAACAGCCACTAGGGCCCACACGGCTCACCTGATGTAGTTGAGGTTGAACCTGATCGGCATCTGGAAGTCCAGCTGGATGGTGGCGCACTGGTGGTAGCGGCGCAGCGCGTCCAGCACGCGGATGTCGATCTTGGGCCCGTAGAAGGCGCCGTCGCCAGGGTTCAGCTGCCACTCCTGGCCAAAGTCGTCCAGCGACTCCTTCAGCTGCTTCTCAGCGTCATCCCAGAGCTGAGGGAAGGGAGGGAGCCGTCAGACGGGAAGAGTGTAACGGCTCGAGTCGTCAGACGAGGAACATTCATTAGTCCCTCACGACCGTGGGACGGGGAACGTTCACCCGTCCCTCTGAGCCGTCAAGTTTCTGTTTTCCTGCTTCAACTGCCGTTTTCATCCTTTTCCAAATCTTTTCCGGACGTTCCTTGGCTCCTCCGTTCCCGTTAGTCCCTTACTCGCCCATTCACTCCCGTAGTTTTACTCGTAATCCAACACCCGTCCCTCTCAACTTCGTCCCATCAGGTCACCCATCTAAGCTCCCTGGTTCCTTCCCCCAGATCCGGTATTCCCCTTTATCTCCCTTTCCTCCTTATCAGCCATCCTCTCTTATCATTCTCACCTCGACCTCTCCGAGGAACTTCTCTGGCCGGGTGCTGAGGTTCAGTTGGAACGAAAAGCCGAACACCGAGTACACGTCCCTGAGGAACGCCAGTGCGCCCTTCACCTCAGACTTGATCTGCGGGCAGACAGGGCGGGACGACGTCAGCTTGACGATACATTCAGTCGAAGGGGCTGTGGGGCCGACTCCATATATCTCATGCACATCTAACGTAATTCAATATGACGTATCCAAAACAGCAGTTTAACCGCTTACGCTTACTGCAAGTCGATAAAAAACCATTACGTTGAGTATATTTCTAGGGCGTGTGCGTTGTAATAACGTACCAAGCCTTAGAATATCACACAACGGAAAGCTACATTGCCGGAACCATCGAACCGGCAGGATTAACCTCTCCTCTAACCGTAACCATCCGTTGCACGCACCGCTGCGGCTATTGGCTAACCCTGCACCGGACGAGCCCCTGTCGTCAGCCACCCGACCCCTACCCTCTCCTGTATCACACACCTGGTCGTGGGTGCAGAAGATGTGTGCGTCGTCCTGCTGGAAGCGGCGCACGCGCGTCAGGCCGGACAGCGCTCCTGACAGCTCGTTGCGGTGCAGCACGCCGAAGTCGGCCAGCCGGAGCGGCAGCTCGCGCCACGAGCGGGGCCGGTGGTCGAAGATCAGACAGTGGCCCGGGCAGTTCATCGGCTTCAGCGCGTACTTTTCCTTCTCGACCTCGAACGAGAACATGTTCTCCTGCGGGGACGCGGCAGCGGTCATTTGTTAACCAACATGACGGGTGACAGAGGATGTAAGCCCACAAAGTTACGGAAAATTCCCTTTCTAGTAAATTTACACAACTCAGCCACATAATCAAAGATGCATTATTGCAAACTATCACAGTAGGCAATGCAATTTCCTCGCTAAGCACTTGAGAAAAAAAAGAAGAAAAGATACATAATAGCACAAGCGTACGCTTGACGAGACATTGCAATCAAAGGACATAGGTCAACAAAAAGTTATGGTATGGTGTAGTACATAGCTAAGATTAAATATTTATCCAGTCTGACTGACCGCATAGTGTTGCCAGTGTGCGGAGGTCTCCCACAGTTTGACGTTGTAGATGTTGGGCGACACCACCTCCTGGAAGCCACGCCGCCGGTACTCGGTGCGGATAAACTCCACCAGCGCGTTGTAGATGTGCGTGCCGCGCGGCTGGAAGAAGCACGAGCCCGGCGACAGCTCGTGGAAAAAGAACAGCTCCTGCTCCTGTGGATGGAAGAGGGAGGGAGGTCAGCAGGAAGTCAGGGAGGTCACACAGGGAAGCAGGAGTCTGCCAGGTCAGTAGGGGTCTGGCAGGTCAGCATGGATCATTGAAGTCAGCGGGGATCACAGAGATAGTTAAGTAGGGATCTAGCTGGCCAGTAGTCGAAGGTCGAAGCATATAGGAGATTTACGCTGCCTCGAATGTCAATGCTACGCTGAAACATGGTTTATGATCTGTTACAATAGTCATACGTCTGGTAATACGAGCCGGTGTCAGGCATCCGTTATTTGGGTTACGGAATGCTCCAACGTGTCTGTTGGCATAACACACCGAAGGAAATCTACCCAAAGCCTTAGCCGAGATATTTGTGAAATAAAATATGTAGTTACGATAGCATTCAGCTATTCTTCTTTCATACATGCCCATTACACTATATTAAACATGTATAATTAGCTGCAGATGGGCTCTTATTTCGGAAGACATTACTCATCTGAAGTCCTTGGAACAGCGCGTCGCCCTGTATAACAAGGTGTTCTAGGTTCGTTGGTTACTGCATGCCGATAACAAATGTACCGCTCACATTGCGGCTCGGATTTCTCTCAATCATAATCCATATACTTAACCAGACACGTCAATTTCAACTCGTGACTCCTTGCAACAGCTGCGCGTACAGTAACACCACGCCTGCCTACCGCGACAAGTCACTACCACCAACGTGCGAAAGTCTCGCGATGCAATAAAGCCCAATATCAAGGACACGGCGTCGCCAGTCTCAGCGCTAGGGGCGAACCACAGCTGCGCTGGTGTCAGCACCCACACAATCCCGGTAACACTAGTAACACCGGCGGCACTCGTCCGAGCCCCGGCGCCATCCCTGACAGAACTACAGTCCAGGCTGATGAGAGATCATGGAGATATACAACAAGAGAGTAAACACTGACCAGACAGAAACTGTCCACTAGATGGCCACGAGCCGATGATGGCCGGAGGGGCCAGCGGCCCCCTACGAAGACAAATAAACAGTGTGGCCCAGAGTATGACCAGTGACCACGTGAAGATGGAAATGCCACAGCGAGCAAGCCGCGGGCATTCCACTCTGACCGAATATCTCGGTAAATACGCCGAGGTCGGGTAATTTTGTATTTACCAGAGTGCCTTGAGAAAAGACCATGAAAGTAAACGAATTCTTTATCCCAGGAATATGGTGTGAGGCTTCAGCGTATTTACCAGCGTGCCTTGAGAAAAGACCATGGAAGTAAACGAATGTAGTTATCCCAGGAATGTGGAGTGAGACTTCAGCGTATTTACCAGCGTGCCTTGAGAAAAGACCATGAAAGTAAACGAATTCAGTTATCCCAGGAATATGGTGTGAGGCTTCAGCGTATGACAAACAGTGTCAGAAAAGTGGCCGTTTTCTCAATTTTTTTGAACTTGGAAGATTTGTTCCGTGAGATTTTTCACTGCTAATAATCACTTTTTTATTCCGTCACTGACTAAATATCAACTGCAACTGGGCATCACAGGACTGAAAGGGAAACTTACTAAAGAAACATGTTAATTGAAAATTTGACACTTGTGCTTTGTTCTGTTTTCAGATCTCCAAAGCAGCAAGCAAGCATCCTGCAAATACTATTGAAGCAGACAAGAAGCAGTTGCTCCACAATTTCACCATGCAATCATCATAATTGGATCAGTCAAAATGCCAGTCATGATTACTTTCCAAAGTTGAAGTGCTTACAAGGTAGAACTATTGACAATTACCATGTCAAACTATCCAGCACGTTTTAAAACAAGCGTGAAGGAATGAATCCAGTATACGTGCCTTGAATGTATGCTATTGAGTGTGTTTGTGAAATAAATTATACTTTATTCACGCCTTCCCGTGAGTAAAGGATATTTGATGCACGAGTGGGATCATTTAAACACGAGTGTGTAAATTTCACGAGTGAAACGAGTGAAATTTACACACGAGTGTTTAAATGATCCCATGAGTGCATCAAATATCCTTTACTCACGGGAAGGCGTGAATAAAATCTATTTTAGTATGATTCCCCGTGTCGCTCAAGTTCTTAGCATTGAGTATTTCAGCGCTCCGGTCAGGATTGTTGAAGGGTTTTTTTTTGGGGGGGGGAGAGTTAAAGAAAAAAGGGGCTTGGCTTTTTGGGGGAGCAAAAATTGATTCACGCGTCAATTAAACGCATGATTTAGCGTATATATTGGTCACCATTCCATCCAACTTCTTATGGCACCGATGTAAAAAAAAAAACTCATGCATTTGAGTTCATCAATCCAGTCTTCGAATTTTTTCAACGCCCATTTTGTTTGTCGGGGGGCTGTTCCTTTCTGTTCAGCTTGTCGAACCATGTTTTCCAGCTCTTCTTCTCCCATCTCCGAGCTGCTCCCATCATCATTATCAATATCCATACAGCTAGCTGATCAGAAAAATAATATAAAGAAATTCACAAATATGTAGAGCAAAACCAGATAACAATCACTGGCTTTTAGAAGAGCAGCTTGAATGCGCTCGTCAACAAGAAGCAAAATCTGTCGAGAGTAAAACGAAAAAATTAACGCGTGATTTATTTTATTGACGCGTGCAGTCTTTTCTGCACTGGATCTTTTACTTTGATTGCGGTAAAAAAGCCGAGAACGCACGGGGAATCATATTAAAATAAATGTTTCCATCACATTTCTGACCCGTTTGTCTACGAATGAGAATCAGTTTACGAAAGAGAATCAGCCCTTGACAGAATGATGCCTCCCTACCATCCAATTCAACCATGATCACCTGCATGTCACGTGCACGGAATGAGATTAGATGCTTCTTACGATAAATCAATATTATCACGAACAACCACCCATACCTGCGACTTGAATAGAAAGTCCTCACCACAATGTCTTTGCACCATGCACAATCCACACCACGTTTATGGGTACACTGCCCGGGGTGGACACTGCCATTTCTTTTGCGTATTCTTTCATCAAATCAGTAACCATCGATTTCCTGCTTTCTCGTCCACTATTGGGCAGAAAATGATCTTTATATGCAGAAAAAGCTGATATCAAGAACAACTAAACACTGCTTTTGACCGTGATGCGCATTATTTGTCGAATTTCCCAAAAGACGCTCTTTCGACCTTTCAGTGAGGCTGCCATATCCTCATAACGGCATTTCAATGGCAGTGCATTTCTCAATTTATGATATTCTTGTTCCGCGACACGGAACAAAAGTAAGGGTAGAATAAAGGTTGAAATAGGCTTGCAATCGGTTCAAATTTGGTATGGCATCGTAGATTGTTCAATTCTGATTGTTTCTATGCCAATTTTTTATATTTTTATAGACGTTTTCATATAGTTTTATCGAAACGCCGTGACCATGTTTCGTCACGGAACAACTCACTAAATTTGGAACGTTTAAGCATTTCCGACTATATTTTATTAAAAATTGGATACCGTTAGAATCGTTGAGAGACGGCGCTTTTCATAGCATAAAATTCTTGCCCAGTTGATGCCGATTACAGGTATAATACCGACATATGCTGATATCACTTTTACATGAAGTAATGTTTGTCTAGGGCATAAAATCCCTTTGCTTTTTAACATATTATTTGGAATGAAGCAGCCAGCTTGAGGTCAAATATACATTTATTTTATATTATTTTTGCATTTTATATGCTATTTTGAAGTATTCATTAATTTGAATCAATTTTATCAAATTGAAAACCAGTAAAGAGGAAATCCCTTTCCTCTAATTTCCCTCGCCAGCGGGCCTCCGCGCCATTTCTCAAGGCTCGAGGTGCGAGGGCTCCGTTTGGGGAAGCGCGTGGACAATAATCTATTATTGATTATAATCAATAATCATATGTGGCATGTTTTTTGGGGGGGTTGTCTTGCACAAGACCTTTTACTTAAAGTGCTGGCATGTTTTTGTGTCTTTGTGGTTCGTTGTTTGTTTCAAGCTGGATTGCGTCAAATTTGTCAAACTTGTATTAGATAGGATAGGTAGGTACAAGGCCATTTATACTGATACCATATAGGTAGGTAGGTACCAGTCCACTTGGTTATGTTTTGATGTTGCTTTAATGTATTTCAAATAGTATTTCAATATACTCAGCAGTTTTTGTTTCATGTTAAAATGTGGCATGAAAAGCATATGAAGAAAAGCGGATGTTGTGTATATTTTATACCCCATTCATATTTCTCACTTCATTCACAATTTTAATAATAATTTGTATATTTTCCATCATGAATAATTTTAAGCATCAGTGGTCATCCATTACCTACATGTCCAGATTTCCTAACTAGTTATAAATAAGTAACACTTGGGCTGTGAGACCACAACCTGCTGTGCTCCTTGAACCCTTATTTTATATGTAGAAGCTGCTGTTTCTGACTGAGACTCTGGCAAATATCTTTATACTTAAAGCGTACCTATAACAATACGCTTGGCCCTACAGTGCCTTACCTACTTCAGGATTTTTGTTCCGTGAGCAGCCAAAAATTTTGTTCCGTGAACTTAGATCCCAAACCACTTTTCTGACACTGATGACAAAGTGGAAACTTACGAGTCCTGCACGGTGCGCACGCCACCTAAGTGTTTGCCAGATGATTATTTGTTGAAGGACTGATTAGTCGGTTTCAGGGTCGGAGAGAGACAGTGGTCCGCATCTTTAGTCGGGGTCTATAGGTGTAACAGGAACTGTGGCTAACCGCGGACGGCACTGTCATTGTGCGGCCAGTTGGTGCATAAACCACCTCGCCCTGCCGCCTTTAGCAGTGGGTGAATTACTGACGCGATTCGTGATGACTCTCAATCAGCACCGCTGCCATCACGTTGCTCCTGCAGCCCGCACCCTACAGAAAGCATTGCTATTCGCCCGCCCGTTTTGCAATGGCCGGAGGGTGGGGCCATAACGACTTATTAAGGCTAGGGTCCCAGAACAGCTTGCTTCGGCTTTCTCAGACTGGCCTCATAGCAGTCGTATATACGATCTGCCCCGCCCCGCCCGGATGTCATCTAACTAACATACGTTAACCGTTTATCACTTCTGGCATAAAAACAACTGGTCGCTAGCACGTGCGCACTGCGCACGGCGTGAACTTTCACCTGATCACACAAACTCACATTTATATCGATCAGGCCCGCTGTAAGCCCCGCCTTTTCACCAGTAGCACCACGCCGGTTTGTTTGTTTGTTTATTGGGGCTTTAGGGCGCGTCGACTGCAAAGGTCATTTTGCGCCCATAACGTCGCGCTAGTAAAACAAGTGTTTCAAAAGAAGAAACTTTCTAGATATCAAGACTAGAAAGTAAAAGACTTTATAAAAAAAAGACAGGGTAAAATAAAACAACGCAAAAGCGTCGTAACAGACAACTGACTAGACAAGGAGACTAGAGAGGATTTGGGTCAGGTCGAGTAAATCGCTTGGAATTTGACTGCACGGATAAAGGAAAAGATGTTGCCAGATAAAACCCAGGGTGACTCGTCACCCAGCAGGCGGCGGACAGTGGTACCCGGAACGATGCGGCCGAGGTAGCGCGTCCGGTCTGGTTCTAAAAGTGGACAAGATAAAAGCACGTGGGCGACGGTGAGAGGCACGGCGCACCCGCCGCAAACGGGCTGCTCATCTCCGCGGAGAAGGTGGCCATGCGTCGCATACGTATGACCGATGCGGAGCCTGCATAAAATCACTTCGTTTGACCTGTTGTCTTGCGAGCAAGACCTCCAATGCTCCAGAGTCGGCTTCACCTCTCGGAGCTTCCTGCCTCCACGCAGGCGCCACTCTGCCTGCCACTCCGTTAGAATAAAAGATCGTACAGCAGGGTAAAAATCACGCGCCGGCAATGGCAACCGACGAGTGCAGGGTGCTGCAGCAGCACGCCTTGCAGCCGCGTCTGCCAGCTCATTGCCATGAACGCCAACGTGACTGGGAATCCAGCAGAACTGAACAGATTTACCCGATTGTTCTACTGACTGAAGCCGAGCTAAAATGTCTTGAACGATCGGGTCGGCTGGATTAAAACTCCGTAGGGCCAACAGGCTGCTTAGGGAGTCCGATAAAATCAAGTAAAAAGGTCCGTCCGATACCTCAATAAAACACAAAGCCTTCTCGATGGCAACAAGTTCCGATGAAAACACCGAGGCGAAAGATGGCAACGAAAATGAACGGGTATCGTCGCCAGCGACGAAAGAACAGCCCGCTCCCTCAGGTGTTTTAGAGCCGTCTGTGAATACAGGAATAAAACCATCGTAAGAGGCAAGGTGTTCCAAGGCTCGGACTCGTGCCTCTGCAGGCAGCAACTTGCCATTTGGAACTGCAGAAAGCGAAAGATCCACCTGTGGACTGACACTTTTCCACGGTGGAGGGGGCGCAGCCCAGGTACGACGAACGTTACGCAATGCTATGTCAACTATTGAAAACAGTTCTTTCATGCGCACTCCGAACGAGGGTCGTAACCTTCCGTTACATCGGGTGGCATGCCGTGAAAAAACGTATGGGTACGTCGGGTGCATAGGAAATTGGCGCAGTTTCAGCGCGTACCGCATACCCAACATCTGACGGCGGAGTGAAAGTGGCGGTTCATGCGCCTCAGCAAGAATGCTGCTCCTGGGCCCAATCTTATAAACGCCGTGAAATGGATATGGCAGCACTCTAAGGCTGGATATATAGTACGCAATCTTATAAAGCTCTGTGAAATCGAAAACACGGCACGCTCTTTACGGTTTTGGTAACCGCCAGTTTTGGATGTGCCGTAGAATGATTTCAGCCGTGAGCAGCTGTGCACATATCAAAACACAAACAATAATCAGCTGATTGCGGCATCGTCGGCACCTATTTTACGCCAGAATTTGTGGCGTACTCTGACGAGCTTCTCAGACAGTTTAATTCATTTAAGATAAATTCAATGTTTTTATGATATAAATATGCAATATTTTACGCTATGATATTTTTAAGATTAATACATCCTCCACATATTAACTCAGGTTCATTATAATGATGCTTATTATACAGACAACGATCAATTTCAAAATACGTATTTTCAGGAACTAAATGCACACTAAAACACATAAAAACGAGTGTTCATCGTTACATGGATTTATTTTTCAAATTAAAAGGGGATTTTTAAGAGGATTTTAGAACCAGTAACCATCATAGATTTTCGGCAGCCACTGTATTATAGAATCGGTATGGGTCTTTAGCTTATTCTCACGTCTCACGTATGACACAAATAACGGGCACTTCATGGCTTCTGATTAGATATTTAAATTAATGATGATATACCTTAGTTTGTCAAAAAATTGTTAATTCCTACTCACTATTCGTATCTCCTCACTTTCTGTCTGGCACAGTTACGGATCAATGTGTTGTTTCTTCTCTTCCTGCATCTCGATCTGACTTCTGAGCCGAGTATTTTTCTTGATATGCTTTGATATTTAGACTGGGTTCTTCAATCTTTTGAGGAATTGCTTTTTAGGTTTAGGTTAGGTAACAGGTACCTATGCTTGAATAAGAAGGAAAATAAGCTGTAACTTGACCTAATTCAGTTCATGTACGTAGTCTTCGAATTTTAGTAGTTTATCTTCAAGAAGGAAAATGTCAAGAGCTTATGACAAGAAGGAAAATAAGCTATATCTTGAATTGATCCAGTTAATGTACGATATCCTGATGCTCAAATTGTAGGAGCTTCATTGTCAACGGCATTACTTAAATTACTGAAACAGTAGCCGAGCTATAATTAAATGACTATTTAAATAATTCTTTAACAAATTTATTGCAATGCCTTAACAGCAAATAAATGCAAATGATAAGTAGAAGAAACACTTTATTCACTCGAATTTCTGAGCGCGAGAATACCCTCGCTGAAATTTATTTGGTCGGCAATCCACTTTTCAGGAGAATTCTTCAAGCATGTTTGTGTTTTCCATAGTTTGCTATCACGTTTTCCATAAATAACTTATTCATTACACATATGTGTGTCTCTAAAAGAAATAAATGCCCCATAAAAATTAAAACACATAACTTTTGCTGTTCGCAAACAGTACGCATAATTTCCAATAGCGACGGCGACAAGACATTGACCAATCACGTTGCGTGTTTCCTGCTGGCGTTGATTTGTACTGTGGGCAAAATGGCGTGAATAGAATTACCATACTATTCTCTTTATAAGATTGCGTGAATAGGGTGCCGTAAATAGAGTGGGGTGGAATGATAGTACGCCATTTGGTAGCACAACCTTTATAAGATTGGGCCCTGGGCGAGGTGCGGAATGCTCCGGTGGCTACTCGGAGTGCTGCATGATGGACTGTATCCAGGACCCTCTTGCTAGATTCACTCGCTGAATCGTAGACAAAAGAAGCGTAATCTAGCTTCGATCGTACAATAGATCGATATAGAAGAAGAAGGGTCCTGCGGTCCGCACCATAAGATGTGCGGGCGACACATTTTAAAACGTTCAGGGATTTAAAACATCGTTCCCGAAGCGTTCTAAAATGTTCTTTATACGTTAAACGACTGTCAAAAAAGATCCCAAGAAACTTCGCCACCGGACGAGTAGGAATCACCTGTCCATAGAGCTGGATTCCCAAGGGAAGGTCGCCGCAGCGGCGGCGGCAAAAGTGCATAGCGACGGTCTTCGTTGTTGTAAAACGAAGACCGTTGTCACGACTCCATCTCTCCAACCGCGTCACTGCAAGCTGCAGCTGTCTGGCCATATGCCGAGCGCTTGAAGCGGCAAACCAAATGGCAAAATCATCCACGAAGAGCGATCTACCGATCGAGACCGGCAGATCATCAGCGATGTCATTAATCGCCACTGCAAAGAGAGCCACACTAAGCACCCCGCCCTGGGGAACTCCGTTCTCTTGAGTAAAACTGCTCGAAAGACTACTGCCAACTCGGACTTTGAACCGACGACCCGATAAAAAGTTCTTAATAAAGAGGCCCATCCGGCCGCGTATGCCGTACTTGTGTACTTTGGAAAGTATTCTGTGTCGTAACACTGTATCATAGGCCGCCTCAATATCAAAGAACAGTGCTCCAAGGTGCTTCTTTTCAGTAAAACAGGTGCGTATCTCGGTGTCGAGGGCTAAAATGTGGTCAACAGGGCTGCGGTGCTTTCTAAAACCGCACTAGGATTTCGCCCGCACCACGCCGGTGCGGGCGCCGGGACGATCACGTGACTGACGCGTGGTGCGCGAGAGTTGCGTAAGGGGCGGATTCACGTACCCTGGCCAGGAAGAAGAGCTGTCGCAGCTCCTCGGGACCTTCATCGCGATAGGCTGGAGGCACGATGAAGGTGGACATATCACCGGACACCCATGCCGCCGAGACCGGCCGACGGGCGGAGAGCACGCGCCCGGCGCCGCACACCCGGGTTCGACACCGCCTCCGCCGCACACCGCCGAGCGACACTGACGGGCCGACCGCGCGGCGAGTCGACAGGCAGCCGCCGCCTCTAAACGGCAGAGCTGCCGGATCGGACACGGACGGACCCGGTCTGAACATATCACGGGCGCCTGGTCGACGGTAGAGCTGCCGGATCCGGGACAGACGGACCCGGTCCAACATACAACAGTCGTTACCAGCTGTCGGATCGTTTATAGGTCAAACCGGTCCGGAATAACACTAAAAACGGTCTCCGACCAGCGGCAGAGCTGCCAGATAAGCTGCAGAACGGATCCAGACACACAAGTCAGACCTCTGTACCCCCCCCCCCCCACTTCACGACACGCCGCCTGGGGCACGTCACACTATTACATCACACATGTCCACCCCTGCGGTTTCCGAAACCGACGTGAGAGACTGTGGCAAAGTGACCATCCTGCCTGCTTAGCAACAACACCCACCGGTCGCTGACCCCGGACCTAAGTGTCACAAACGCGTCATCCCATCCCCAGCCGGTTCAACAAACAGTGATATGGGATATGGTGCGGACGGCCGAAGTGACAGAGCGAATAGGAGAGATAGAATGGAAACGTACAGAGCAGTGAGACGATCATGGTCAGGAAATCATCCCGGGCGGACGCGGAGTCTAATTGACCCGTCACGAACAGAGCAGCCGTGACAAATTAACCGGGAGCAGCGAGACGCGGTGGCTGGTCAAGGCACGACTGGGATGCTGGAATCAGTCAGCTGAGGTCGTACAGCTGCTCTGAGCAGGTGGGACCAGACAGATCTAGTACCAAATAATTACCACCGAACAACTACGACCGAAGAGCTAGGACCCGCCAGCTGAGACCAGACCGCTACGACCGGACAAAACTAGGACCAAACTACAACCGAACAGCTAGGACTGGACGGCTAGAGTCAGACAGCTACTGCCAGGCAGGTGGGACTGGACAGCTGTACTGTACAACTGGAATAGGGCATCTGCGCCGCTAGGTACGTGAGCGTCAGAGACGCCAGAACACCAGTCCCGAGATAGAAGCTCGTTTGTTTACAGCACGACACGCGCCAATCCTCCGGACAGATAACGAACAAACAAAAAAGATAAGAAGGAGAGTGAAAAGTGTAGCCTATAGTTCGTTTTTTTTTCAAAAGGACTCTGGCTCCAAGTATGTTTTTCGAACAAGCACGTGCGAGCAAAACGAGCAAAAACTGAGCTTAAGAAAATCGAACGTCGACTGATTTTAACATGTGATTTCTTCCCAAAAATTTTCATATGTGCGTTTTGGAACCACATATGAGAACAGTGGTGACGTCATGCTGTCGAACTTGTATTGCAATGTAACGTATAACTATCATGGACGGAACCGCTTACTCGATTATAACCTTGGCAACATTGAACAACAAGGTTTCACCCGAATTCGTCGACACTATGTCCCATTGCACGGACATCTGGGTGCCTGCTGCCGCCAATGACGTCATCACAGTATGTTCATTTTTAAGACGCAATTTCTAGATACTTATCGTGCACAATTTGAAATCGATAATTTTTTCGGTAAGAAATTCTTGACCAGACACTGAAGCTGCCAAAACTCACGTGAGAGCTTCGATAATGAACTTGGAGCCGGCGTCCTTTTGAGAAAAAAAAACGAACTATAGCAGTGCTCTGGACAGCACATAGTTACAAGAGAGAGAAAACACTTGACGAAAACTCCAACAGAACCGGCACCGGCTGTAAATCGAACCCGCGTGGAATCCTAAACAGGCGGTCCAGGGACGGAGAACTCGGATCAGTCCGGCCAAACCAACCCACGAGAGCCAGCTGGCTGAGTGTCGCAATGTTTCGAGGTGTTTCGGATACAAATCGCGTAGCTGGAAACGCACACCAGCTGCCTATACGTCATGGACGTGTGACAGAGACCACGGTAGAGGGAGGAGCAAACGTGCGCTCGCAGAGGCCCGCTGTAAGTCGGATCAGCCCACTACGCTAAATGATCGCGTGACAGACGACAGAAGAAAATATGAGAACATTTATCTCATTTAAGGACCATATCAGCAGTTCAACAAGCACCATCCACTTGAGCCAGCAATAATAATTTCAAAACAATGGCTCGATGTCGCGAGTCAATGTGTAAAACTTGCGACTGCGCATAATTCAGCGATCATAACATTTTTAGGAAAATATGTAGAATAGTTTTACACCACAATAACGAAATCACGTAACAATGACGTCATGCTTCCATCATTGCTGGCACAAAATTGTTTGAGAGAAACATTTTCTAACATACTTTTAAGAAAGGGGGGGGGCCGAAACGGCCCCCCTGTCCTTTTCGGTCAATATCTCCTAAACGGCTGGAGATATCGCCACCAAACTTTCAGGACCCCTCCGGGCATCAATTTCACACATTGTGACCAAATTTTTTTTTTCCAGAGGCTATGATAGGTTGGCCACAAATGACGTCAGAATGTTCTGTCATTTTCGACCGAAAAAAGACCTTCGCGAGAAGACCTGTCAGGCCTACAGCTTTGAAGATACAGAAAAATGATCAAGACATAAAAGGTGTAGAATTGACAGGGCTACAAAACCGCTATCTCGGATTTTTGAAATTTTTGAGTTTTGACCCCAAAAATAAAAAAAAACTTTTTTTGGGATATATCAGCCAAAAAATCCATAAAGTTTTTTGAGTTTCGAAAAAACCGGAATATATGTGATAGTGCCTACCGTCTTCTATCTACATACCAAATTTCAGATCGATACCTCGTTTTTTTGGCCAAGTTATAGCGAAAAAACTGTCCAAAAATGATGACGTCAAATTTTCAAAGTCAATTTTTGGCACTTCTAGACCTTGTAGAGCAAAACAAAGACCACCATTAGACTCCCCGTGACGAGCTGCATCGAATCAATACCCATTTTATGCAAAAATATCAACTTTGAAATTTGACCTAATTTGACCTGACCTTGACCTGACCTTCACCAAAACGTGACCTAAGCTGGCCCCAAAGGCTGCCTAACCCACATAATCGCATTTGTCATGTAAAATGAACCATAAAACATGTATCACACGACACTTTCATATTGTGACCCCGGTGACCTGACCTCGCTGTGACCTGACCTGGTATCAGTGACCTCAGATAGCAAAGTATGTGTTTGACGAACAATGTAACATCGATGGTTTTCAATAAATTACCAATTTACTCGATTTCGTAACACATTTCTTGAAATGCCTGTGAACGTTGAAAATCTGACCTTTGACCTGACCTGTGACGTCATCGGTTTGACCTAGGTCAATGAAATTTGGTCACAAGGTAGTTCCCAGGTGGGGCTATCGAACGCCGTTTGAATTTTGAAAATCGGCCGGTAACTTTCCGAGATCTTAGGGGGGGGGGCGAAACGCCCCCCCCCCCTACGGGTGGTAGGGTCCGCCGGTAGCCCTACGGGGCGCGGGTTAAAGGGACCCTCCCACCTTAACATTAGATTTGAGTTGAGATAGCCAAAATGGGGTCCCTGGCTCACAATTACCGGTTTCGGCACTCACAACATCGAGAAATGCCTTAAATCGGAAATATTGAATTTCAAAATTGCAGCATTTTGATTCAGAGGAGCTAATGCATAGGAATACCCCTCTGAATGTGTGACGTCAGCGCAGATATCTAACGATTTTTACATGTTTGACTAAAACGTTTTGTAGCACGCGGTGGTATATGCTGCTTTGCGCGCAATAAGTGCCGCACTTTCAGCTGCCAAACTATTGCTTCCAAATAAAGTCGCTATAGTTCGTTTTTTTTTTCAAAAGGACGCTGGCTCCAAGTTCGATGTCGAAGCTATCACGTGAGTTTTGGCAGCTTCAGTGTCTGGCCAAGAATTTCTTACCGAAAAAATAATCGATTTCAAATTGTGCACGATAAGTAGCTGGAAATTATTTCTTAAAAATGAACATACTATGATGACGTCACTGGTGGCAGCAGGCACCCAAATGTCCGTACAATGGGACAAGTGTCGACGAATTTGGGTGAAACTTAGTTTTTCACTGTTGCCGAGCTTATAATCGAGTAAGCGGTTCCGTCCATGATAGTTATACGTTACATTGCAATACATGTTCGACAGCATGACGTCACCACTGTTCTCATATCTGGTTCCAAAACGCACATATGGAAACTATCGGGAAGAAATCACATGTTAAAATTAGTCGACGTTCGATTTTCTCAGGTTCAGTTTTTGCTCGTTTTGCTCGCTAAAACACGTGCTTGTTCGAAAAACATACTTGGAGCCAGCGTCCTTTTGAAAAAAAAAACGAACTATAGGAACAGCGGAGATCCCAAAAAGTAAACAAAAGTAAAAGTCTAATATCTTGAAAACCGGTGAATATTTTTCGGTGAAATTTGGTAGATATTCGTTTTCGCTCTTTCTGAACCGAGCGACATCACTTTCATGCCAATTCATAAACTTTTTGAAGGTGGGAGGGTCCCTTTAATGCAAAAATGTTGCCTGAGATGCTAAAATGTGTCTTGATCGATAATTCGCAGCACGCATTTACGATTTGCGTACATTATTTGCGATTCTTCTCATATAACACTATGAATAAGAATCATTCGAGGCAGGGCAGTAAAACGAGCGTGCAGCATGTATGAAAATTGAGAGTTGTCCGACCCGTCCCACTGTTCGTTCTGCGCCCCTTCTATCTCGTAATCTCATTGCATCGCATCGTCATCGCAGGGTACCCACACCATCGCCCAGGCGTGCCGGACCCGTCACCGTCCCACTCCGCCCACCCGCAAGTCACGTCCAATCCCAGACTGTGTTCCGACATATTCTGACCAGTGACCATGCCGGGAGCAGAATTCAGTTAGTCATGCGGCCGACCACACGACCAGTCTGTTCTGTGTGGAACTATACGACTACCACGTAGGGGAGACCCGGGAGGAATGGGCCCCCGAGAGGTAATGGGCCATCACAGTTTTCATCAATGAAATGATGCTTTCATTGAATGTCCTCTTCAATAAGTTTTATTTTTGTCGCACAAGGTCGAACATTCAAATACAAATTGCATTCGAACAGGAAAAAAAATTATTTGTCTGATTTCATGGAACATGATTAGAGTTAACCAAAATACATATGTACCCAAGTGAGCTCCATGAAGTAAGCTGTTGGCCGCTTATGCGGTTCCTGGGCTCTAAGAGATCTCAAGGTAGAGCCCAGCTACGAGTATTGTTCTCAATGTCGAGAAAATAAGATGAAACATGGCACCGGCCCATACCTCCCGGGCCATGGCCCATACCTCCCGGTGAATTCTGATTGATCAAAAAAGCGCATGATTTATTTAAAGTTATCTCGAGACAAAGTAGTTGATCCCAGATGCCTAATATCAGGTACACTTTACAGGCGAAAAGCAATTTCATGTACACAGAGTGAAAAACCAGGTCTAGCCACTGCCCAATGGAAGAAAATTGCTTTTTCACAAAACCGGCCCATACCTCCCGGGTCTCCCCTACCCCCTCTTGCATCAGAACCCAACTCTTCACGCAACAATGTGTACTCACCCGGCCGATTTTGCGGTGGTCTCGCTTGGCGGCCTCCTCCTGAAAGTGTTGCCACTCCTTGAGCTGCTTGGTGTCGGGGAAGGACACGCCGTAGACGCGCTGCAGGGACTCGGCGTCCGCCTTACCCTCCCAGTAGGTGGCCGAGTTCTGCAGCAGGTAGGAACGTGGCATGTACGATCAGCAGAGTGGCGACGAGGGACGGAGACAGTGAGGGTCAAACGGGCAGACGCAAGCTCTACAAGAAACTGTTCAGAAAAGATCGATCCAAATACTTCGCGTTAGCTTCGACCAGAAAATGTAAAGCTCCATTCTGCATTTACGAATTGAAATAATTGAGAGTTGAGACTGTCACACATTAATGTGAACCCTACATCCATTCAAAATGAGCTCGATTTTACAAGCACAAAAAAATCTTGCATCGATCAGCGTCCACTTTCGATCCACAGGCGTCTCACCTTGGTGACTTTGAAGGCCTTGATTTTGCCGGTGTGCCGGACGTGCGGGCCGCGGCAGAGGTCGATCAGCGGACCGCATCGGTACGCAGTGGTGGTCGGCGTCTTCACGCGCTCCTCCAGGATGCGCACCTTGAACTTGTTGTAGCGGAACATCTCGAGCAGGTCCTCCTTGGAGATCTCCAGCCGCTCGAACGTCTGTTTCTCCTTGATGGCCGACTTCATCACAGTCTCGATCGCGTCAAAGTCCTGACTGCTCACCTGTGGAAGGCAGCGAAAAGCCTGTGTTAGGAATGTAAATGGAACTACGAAATCGGCAATGCCAGCTTTAGCGGTACAGACAACAGATGCACCACCTATGCTGTTCGAAGATATAACGTAGACAACCCAAATAGGTACAGAGCAGCTGGGCGCTGGTGGCGTTACTATCCCACGAAAAGTGCCGCCAATTTTTGTACAAGCACGAATAGCTGGCTGAATAATAGTGACAGCTATCCAGACCGAAAGATAATACCCAATACCCATCCTCGCTGTAGCTCTATCTCCGAAACTCATCATGACCATTGACAGGTGCCCCTCTGCGTCAGTTATCCCCAATTCAGGTTCCCTTCACCAAGTAACCCTAGCTTCACTTAGCCCCGTATCACTAAGCGCTTCGTCAGTTCCCTGTCGATCCTCACCTGTCCATCCTCCAGGTGCATGTCGTAGTAGAAACCCTCCTCGATGGGCGGTCCGTAGCACAGGCACCCGCCGTACACACGCTCCATCGCCTCACCCAGTATGTGAGCGGTCGAGTGCCAGAACACGTACTTCCCTGCGGAGCAGACAGACCGCAGTGCAGTGACGAGTCAGACGAGTTAACGCACGTAACAGATGGGGTCAAATAAAAGCATGCGGAAAAAACATGCCAAAAAAATCGAGAAGAGCAGCAGTGCTTATACATGAAGGCCGGAAAAAAATGTATAAATCGACGGTGATCAATTCCATTTTTTATTGCAGCTGAACTGCGCCTTTGATGTTTCAACCAACAACTGCAAATCAAACCCGAAAAGTTTGCTTCACTAGCCGAGTACTATTCATTATTAACCGTTTCCAGTCAAAGCAAGTAACTTGCCTCAACAGTCAATACCGTCTGAGTTCACTGTGCTCACGCATCCATGCGCCAATAGTACCTACCCTCATCAGAGTCAAACTTGAGCAGCTGCAGCGAGGCGTCACCCTCCAGAGGCCGGTCCAGGTCCCACAGCTCTCCGTTGACCTTAGCGATCACCGTGTTGTCGGCCAGACCCTGGCTGGAGGGAGAGGGCGGGACGGGGTCAGACTGCGCCGCACGATGGTAAGGTACATGACACGGGGCCATCCAAAACGCCAGAGAGAAGCTGGAGATACTGGCGCTCCGGGCGCCGATATATCTAGTGAAAGCAGCATGGCCCTATCACAAACAAACACATGCACATAAGCAATCGCATGAAAAAATGTGTACGACACTGCCCAGCATTGAGTTAATATAGTTCACATTCGTTTTAGCGTAGTTCCACTGATTTTCGACCACACGATTTCACTTATTTTAGTTATCAGCTATTGCCTGACCGGTCCCCAAGTCCAGACCAGTCGATCACGGTCACCGACCTGATGCCCTTGGCGACGTCGTAGGGCGTGGTGCGCCACGACTGGCCCTCCACCTCCTTGCCGTCGGGCAGAGTGACGGTTATCTTCTGCGGCTCTTTGGCGGCCACCTCGGCGTCCGCCTTGGCCTTCAGACGGTCCCACAGGGCCAGGCGCTCCTGCAGCGAGAGAGGGGCAGTGAGTCAGTGTTAGCCTTCAAACGGTCTCACAGGGCCAAGGGCTCTTTAGGCCTGTACTCATCGGGTCGAAAAACGAGGCTGAGACCGATATACTGGGCATTACTGGTGTTATGTGCCTTATCTCAGACGACTGACCTGGATATACGCAGGCCAGGGGTTGAGCTCCTTTACCGAGGAGGCTTTCGCCTTGTCTCCGCCACCCTTCTTGTCCTTCATCTTGGATCGGGCTCGCTGCAACGACCGAAAGGAGAGTTACAACAGAAAATGTAGACCAATTGTACATTCTACGCACAAATAGCTACCATTCTTTTATGGATCATTGGCATGAATGGCATAATTACAATCCAATTAAAGTTGTTCAGAAAATAGCAAGCAATTTTGAATGACTGTATTTTACAAACAATCAACGAACAACGATCAATAAAAGAAATAATCCGGGAATCGGGAAGATCGTGCCCGTCAATGAGCTTAGACATTGCAAAAATTACGAATTGAAACTATACTATCTCATGCAATTATAGGTGCTACGTGCACAATAAACTGTAACAAATAAGATCACATATCAGCTGGAAGATCACAAACTGATTAGTAGTCATATTAGTAAAACAACTCATGGAATAGGACAGGGAATGAGGTGATTGGTGCTAATAGCAGTACAAACAACCAACTAAATATCAGAAGAATCAGACAAGCAACAAAGCTGAATGTCATTAGCTTTGTGTAATGTGTAAATGTGATCTCCAGTTCACTACTAAAGCTCGAAGTTCACACTTTTTAACAAAGATCAAGAAAAAATGGACAAAGGATCTTTTAGCTAAGGAAACGTTGCTCTACATTTTTCCTGAGCACATGTCACTCTGACCTGATTCATCTGTGAATATTGCTAACTACACCCTCTTCATCATATTGTTATCTGAGTAAATATGTAAAAAAAAAAATTGATGTGCCCCATCATTAAAATGTCCTTCCTTAACTGTCAGGCATCGTGAGATCTTATAGAATATATAATTCAGCATTCATTATGAGTGGTACTGGCATTCTTCAGCAATTAAAGGGATCCCAAAATGTCTTGAAGCGTGAATAAAAAACATTAATTGGTAGGAAAAAACGGTCACCCATTTTGAAAACTTCAAACTCGTCACAACGAGTAGACAACAAAATATTTGACAACGACGGCAACTTCTGCGTATGTTAGTGTTATACTTTCGAAAGTTCTAAATTTAATAACTAGTATGAAAAAGCATGACAGCCATGGCAACATTTACTACAAGCGGCAGCGGCACATGCAAGTCAGAAGGCGCCATCGCCGTGCCCTCCTGAGCACAGACAGAGGGCGCCGCCGCTGCCGCCCGGTTTCTGCCACAGAGAGTGCGCGGGGCCTCCCGCACCCACCTCCTGGGCTGCGGGCTGGGCCGGGGCCGCGGGCTGGGCGGCCGGAGCCGGCTGAGGGACCGCGGCCGACCCCTCCGGTACGGCGATACCGCAGTCGCGCAGCGAGCGGCCGGCGGCGGCCGCCGGGAACGTCTCCCCGAGCCGCTGCAGGCTCTGTACGTGCCGGTGCCAGCGCGCCAGGTGCGGGTAGCGGCCGGCGTCCGGCGCGCCGCCCACCAGACGCAGCAGGGCCGCGTCCAGCGACGAGGCGCTGTAGCCGTCCACATAGCTGTGCGCCTCCAGCACGGCGTCGGCGCTGGCCAGAAACTGCAGCATGCTGCCGCAAAGCGCGCGCGCGCGCCAGCGCTCTCACTCACACCACTGTGAATGGAGGTCCGTCACCAGGCGGCACGGTACTCTGATATCGCATGGCGCTGACCGATACTTGACTGCATCAATCACCATCGAGAGCAATATGAAGAGACAAATCACATCCCTGATGCAGGCAGATCAGAAATCTCACATCCACAGAATTTGAAAATAGGTACCTATCACTCTCTGCATTCTAGCAATCAACCTCAGCCACATGTGGTAGGCATTTTTTGTGAGAAAAGAAATAAAAACCATGCCAAATAATTTTTATCTTGTAACATTCACATCACTTGGAGGAATGATTACTTATCTAATCACCATACCAGTAGATAAAGTTTGCAATTTCCTACTCTCTTTCCATGCAAGGGCAACACCTCACACTAGCAAGTAGCATCATTATCCACAATGCAGCTTCTTGGTAATTCATGTGTCTTGCAGAGCCTTGCAGATCATTTGCTAAAAAAAAAAAACTGCACATAGTGATGCTGAAGAATGCCAGTACCAGGTGATGACATGTTGTGAGGTTGTGAAGAAAATGATTTGATATGTTTAATATGAAAAACATTTAGACATCATTGTATTTGCTCTGCAATTATTTGTTTGAGGGGTCACCAACCACAGTAGCCTTAAGATAGATAGGTACCATTGTTGACTTCCTCTAATGAGAGACAGCACACTCCTTTTTCAACAAAGCCCCGTCATAATCAGTGATCAGATGGGAGGGGATCAGTCAGCTAGTACTGATGAGGGCATACATCTGTTGAACTGCATTATCTGCATGATTGCAATTTGTGTACCTGCTATGCTTGAATAAATTCAAGGTAAGTGCTTGAATGTCTTGTCACCCAAGGCATCAATGGCTGAAAGTTTAAAGCAATCTCTCAGACAGTTAAGTGTTGCCAAGAAAATCATCTTTTATTCTTGAAGTGGGTTTAACTAGCATGATATGGGCATCACCCCCCTCCCCCCCATCACAGCAAGGCTTGGAAAGCCAGGAGAAACATCAGTAGGTGGAACTATGGTCATGAGTACCCAAATATAGGAACGTTCCCATTTTTGGGAACGGAGTTTCCAAATATGGGAACGGGCGTTCCCATTTATGGGAACGGAAGGTAATTTTTCGGCCGTTCGCCCACTAAAACTCATTAGTGCATCACGTCTCAAAAAAGTGCACGCTAATTTAAGTATCTACTAAGTCTATAAAATCGTCTTTAATCTGACCGTTGCACAAGGAAATTGACCGTCGAATGATATTTTTAATGATTTTTTGAAATGACGGAATGGTGAAAACATGGGTTATACTAAATTTAACTTGCAATTTTAAGGAAAATGAAGCGTTTTTTACATTTTGAGGTCAAGTATAATAATTTTCGCCTGGTTATGAAGTTTCATACTAGCGACACCAGATGCTGACATATGCAAGCGAACACGCGGACAGTCCGGGGGTAATATTGGTGACATTTGGTGTCGGGGCGCACAACCGCATGGAACGTCAGTGATTTTACCGAACTACTGTTGTAAACTCAGTTTCAGTGGTTTAAAATTATTCAGCTGTATTATATCATCCCAGATAGACATATTTTATTTGGATGCTAGCTGTTTAGAGTTGTTTTATAAGGAGCGTCATGAGCGTGGTTTTTGTCTTCCGTGTTTCTACGCGTGATCGTTTTGGGGGAATTTCTCTTATATAGGTCGCTCTGTGTGGCTTATTTATAATTTTTATGCTGATTTCGATCATTCCTCGTGCCCATCCTACCAGGCCTTTTGCCACTTACACTCATCAAGAAAGGAAAAAACTAGATTTTCATTGGGACTAGGTGTTTTGAGGGTGTAACATATTCAGCGTTCCCATTTTTGGATACTTCCTTGTGCTCGTCAACTATCGGTGATAAACAGACAGGTGCTTGACATGTCTCCACCCTCGGCGCGGACGGTGGATATAGGCTTGGATATAGGTATGGAAGACCTTGTTGATCATCGCTGAGCGTTGTGAATTACGTAATCCTGCAGAGGGGGGCGTGCCCGCTGCGAGATCGACGGGAATAAAAGCGCAGAAGACCGGGCGAAACATGCGACGGTCTTGCCGGAAAGGTCATCTGATGATTGTTGCGTTAACAATAATTTGCGGCGTTGGACGTGATGCTTATTAATGAAAAGAGCCCCTGACAGGCGTCGGTGAAATCGTTCCCAATTTTGGGTACGCCGTTCCCATAATAAGGAACTCTTGCAGCGCCAGTGTACGAGAGCGTTCCCAAATTTGGGCTCGCGGCCCGGATGATGGACTGCTTTAGAAATAGGGGAACGATTTGAAACTACGATGGGCCTTACAATATCAAACTCTTTCTCAACAATATTGAGACAAATATCAGATGGTTCACGATCGTTTTATACTTTTTGGACGTCATTTAACGGTTCTTTTTGTTGTTTTAAATAATGCCTACATGGCGTTCCCATATTTGGGTTTATCGTTCCCAAACATGGGAACGAAAATGCGTTCCCGAAAATGGGTACGCTTGACCATAGTTCCGCCTACTGACATGGCAGGTATCTGATAAAGCTGTTGATAAATCATTAGGTTACTGAGGTCAATAACATCTAACATGACCCAGTAACTTGATATTGAAATGAGCCGAATCAGTCAACTCTCCCAACTACAGCATTATAGCTCTTGTCGTCAAAAGCAGCATAACATATGGCATTGGTACAGGCTACGTCCAGTTTCCAAATGCTCGAGCAGGTACCTACGCAATATTGAATTGTGGATATATATATATATAAGTGGGAAATGTTTAAAATACCACTAGAAACACTACTATTTAAAGGATGCATGCACGAATTGACAATAATTCACAAAACTGGAATCCAAATACCGATGCAAGAGTCCGTGAAGTCAGAGAGAAAGTCTTGACCGTTTTTGAGAGATTGAAAGCAAGACGAAACAGCATATCAGATGAAAAATACAAATCAAATTAACATGGCGCATTTAAAATCAATGAATACTGTGCCACCACCAAAAATATAAACAAAACCGAGCGCTTCTCTGCAACCCTCAAACACCCCTCCCTCACCAACACCAAAAGGCCGGCAGCGATTCACACGCGGACAAACAACTGAGGGATACATTTATGGCGCAGCAGCTAGTTTCTTGCACAACAAATCTTTACCAAATCGAGATAGCAGATGACGTAACAAGCTAGATGATGAAAGAAATGATCTCAACAGGGCGATAGATGAACTCACACCTATATCATCACAGTTTTCGTCTTTATTTCTTTAGTTTCCCTGCTTTGGTTTAGAATCAGATAAAGTTCAGCAAAAAGCGATGCGTACGAGTGGTGATTTTGAAGGCCTCGAAGCGAAGGGACACTTATGTTTGATCTGTCCATATAGGACCTTGATCTGTCCTTTACGGCGTCGGCATTTACCAAAGTACCTAATATTTGAACAAACAGTTTTGTAAAAAGCGATAAGTCTACAGTCACGGTGCTTAGTGAAATGTTAGTGAATATTCTTGGACCAGTGTCGTCATAAAAAATAATCTCCTTGCGGAATCTGAATTGACACGTTGCTACGAATTTTGATTCCTTGACAAATTGAAATGAAATGGTGAGCAAAAATAAATAATGTGCAAAAAAACTCAAGTCGCGATTTTTTCTGAGAGGTGGTGATCTACATTTGGGATAGAAGGTATTTTGAAGTGTTGAGCTTTGTGAGGAATATTATTATGATGATTATAAGTATTATAAGCAGGGCTGCGGTGTCGTATTGTATTGTATTGTATTCAGGGGCGCGGGAACTTCTTTCCGACTGGGGGGGCACACCATAATAGAGATCAACCTAGGGTACCCCCAAATCTAGTTTTCTCACCGGTTTTAGGCCACTTATTTTTCACCCCTCGGCTTTTTCAACAAAAAAAGAAAACATTTGCAAAAAAAGTGTGGTATTCCGTCTCAAAGCTGTGGGGGCACCGCCCCCACGGCCCCAGAGTTGGGGGGGCAAGCTGCCCCCACTGCCCCCCCGGCTCCCGCGCCTATGATTGTATTGGGTAGGTATTAGCGGTATTAGTAAGCCTGGCGGGTAAATGTCAAGTTTAAGTCCTAAGAAGATTTCATTGATAAATTTTTCATATTTTTACATTATTTGACATCCTGAATCCAAAAATGATACTCACATGTCTCGCAAATAAAAGGAAAAAACATAATCAAACCTGACCTAACCTTACCTACTTACCTATAACCTACCAACCTACAACCTACAAACCTACCCTAACCTAACCTAACCTACAAACCTACCTACCTACAACCTAAAACCTACAAACCTACAACCTAACCTAACCTAAAACCTAAAATTTTTGCTGTTTCATATTCGTATCAAAAGCGCCACAATTGTAGTTAGGACCTAAACTTGACATATACCGCCTGGCGTCAGACGACAGACGATACTTTTTGCGTTCCAAGGCTATGCTCAAAATCAGCTAAACAGTACGTTAAACCATTGACTCCAAATTCTGCCATAGAACCGAAACTGTGTGATTGGCGGGTAGAGGACCTAGGGTCAACGTAACACAAACAGGCTTTGCTTAGCGGGGCTCTGTCCTTGTGAATCCATCCATTTTAAAGGTTCAGACTAAATTTATTAAAAAAAGGTCTTCCATTGCAAATATGCATCACAGATAGCAAGCAGAATTAAAAGCAGGCTCTGGCAAATAACCTTTTTCTGCCTCTTTCGATGAAAACGTAAGTTCAGTGCAGGAGTATGGCCTTCTTTTGACAAAATCTGATCTAGAAAGGTCAGCTAGCATAGCGTAGTCAAGCCAACAGCTGCAGGACATGACTGAGCTGTGCCAGCAATAACTCAGACACCAGAGTGGGAGTCGGTAAGAATAAGGTGACTCCGACTCTGGGCAGAATTGTTGATTCCAACTCTGTAGGCCTGATTTTATAAGCATGCTTTAGTGACTGCATCTCAAAATTTGAATCTGAATGAAAGAACATGATAACATTGCTCGGGTATATTTGGCTATGCTTTCAGTTTAATATAAAGTGCAAACTGTCCGCAGTTTCCACAACGGCAGCAGTGGGCACAGGGCAAGATGCAGTCCAGTCCGTCTGCAGATCGTCACCCGGTCCGGCAGCATTCCGCCGGTGGTGACGGGCCGTCTAGCGCCGGGGACGGCGCGCCGGCGCCGCGGCTGTCTGGAGAGGCGGCGCTGCGGCTGGCGGCCGTGGTGGCCGTGCTGGCCGCCGCGCTGCTGACCGCCTGCGGGTGCGCCGACCACTCGGCCTGGCTGCAGCGCGAGCTGCGCGCCGCCGCCGCCCGCTCGCTGCTCTTCTGGCGGCCGGCGCCGGCCGGCCACTGGCAGCCGCTCGGCCACCACCGCCCGCCTCTCGCAGAGCTCATCGACCAGCTGGAGCGCTTTCCCAGCCCGGAGGAGTTCTTCAGCCGCTACGTGCGGCCACAGCGACCGGTCGTCTTTCGCGGCCTGGCCGGGGTCCATCCGGCCTATTGGCTGTGGACCGACGACTACCTCAGGTGGGTGACTCATTTATTCATCCAACTATAGTTCGTTTTTTTTAGCTTGCCCCTCACTGTAAACGTCATTTTGAACACAGCACGAGAATTGCTAGCTCAGACTCGTAGCTCGTATTTGCCAATACCTACAGCCCCACAGGGATAGACGACTTCTCAGGAATTATGTCTGAACTAATAAATAAATTGCACGGCGCTTAACCCGCGCACCGACGGGGAGGCGGATATCCGCCCCCCCCCCCCCCTGAGCATGGTGTGCAAGTTTGAACCTCCTATCTTTTAAGGTCAGGTCACCAGGTCACTTTGAATGACCCAACCTCAAGTCACTTTTTTGCAACTTTGTCACCGTGCCAGAGCTACAGTAGATGTCGGAGGCCTTTGAAAGTCACAGGATGTTATAAGGTCATTAGTAGCTACAATTTGTATATCTCGGAATTTTGATATCGGTGACCTAAGGTCAGGTCAATTTCTCGACCTCCCCATTATAAGTCAATGGGGGAAAAATCAACTCCCTGTTTTTACCACTAAAACGGGTCGGAATGGCCCCATAAACCATACATGACCTCATATACGATCAACCTTCACTACCTTGAGGTCTGTTTTGCTGTTGGGCAGCTGCAAGGTCACGTGACGTCATCAAAGGTCACCAGCGGTTTTTTGACAATAACTCCGTACAGAAACAAGATACAGCCGCGCGGATGGTCTCATTGTGTTCAGCTCGTCAAGGCGCATCGAATGATATGCATGATGACCTCGAGGTCACGTGACCTGAGGTCAACCTTTGACCTTGACCTTTCGAGGTCAACATATATATCATTCGATGCGGATTGACGAGAGGATCACGATGCTGCCCTTAGTTTGTTCCTATATTGACTAGTTCGAAAGTTATTCGAGAAAAACTCTCCATACCTAGCGCCGCCATTTTGACTTTTTTGACCCCTGTGACGTCATCTTTGACCTGACCTGAAAATGACCTTAGTAAAAATTGTAGACCTTGTCCGTGCGTATCCTTTGCCGTTTACCGCTTGTCGCTATCTTGCTTCGTTCTCGAGATTTCAGGGGGGGCGGTCATCCGCCCCCCCCCCGTCGGTACGAAGTTGGCGCAGACCCCCGTCGGTGCGCGGGTTAAAGGGACCCTCCCACCTTAACATTAGTTTTGAGTTGAGATAGCCAAATTGGTGGCCATGGCCTGAAAATACCGGTTTGGGCATTCACAACATCGAAAAATGCTTTAATTCGGAGATATGGAATTTCAAACTTGCAGTTTTCGGATTCTAAGGGGCTAATGCATTGGTATGCCCCCTTAGAATTTGTGACGTCAGCGGAGATCTAACGATTTTTAAATCTTTTACTAAAACGTTTGGCAGCACGCGGTGGTATATGCTGCTTTGCGCGCAACAAATGCCGCACTTTCAAATAAAGTCGCTAGGAACAGCGGAGACCTCAAAAAGTAAACAAAAGTAAAAGTCTAATATCTTGAAAACCGGTGAATATTTTTCGATGAAATTTGGTAGATATTCATTTTTGCTCTTTCTTAACCGAGCGACATCACTTTCATGCCAATTCATTAACTTTTTTGAAGGTGGGAGGGTCCCTTTAAAGGGACTATCCCACCTTCTAAAATGTTGTTAAAACCAGTTAAATTGTGCCCGACTTTATAGATTGGATGACCAGGAACACGGATCTGGCATTTATTTTTCATTAAACATCTTAGGCTTCCCTTATTCCAAACACAAACTTTCAAATATGTGACGTCACAGCCCAAAATTACCTCCTTCCCCAGGCCACATTACTGTCATAAAGCTGATTCTTTTTACTCTGTAGGCACCACAACAAAGTTCAGACCAAGTTTTAAGCGATTTTTCAACGAACAAACCCATTTAAATCAGAATGACTAAACGAGGTGACGTCACACTAACGGTCGCTCCATGTTGAAGATAGGGCCTTGTACAAGGCCCATTTTCAAATGAAGGGAACGAATTTCTTCAACACCAAGAGGCCGCGGGGGTTGCAACCTAGATAGATAGTGGTTTCTGAACCTCGCCGCAAACTTGGCTATCTCAACTCAAACCCCATGTTAAAGGTGGGATAGTCCCTTTAACATAACGTTAAATGGTCGGTGTTCAAAACTTGTTTTGAAAATATTATTCATATCTACAATACAATGTACGCTAACCAGTTTTCTCAGTAATTCATCTAGCAATTCTCGTGCTGTGTTCAAAGAGAACGTACAGTGAGGGGCAAACTTAAAAAAAAAAAATGAACTATAATGTCAGCTGGTCGGGCTATAGTCAGCTGGTCAGGCTAGCCAAAGCGACTAGGTAGTGCTTTATTATAATGAGGACTTTGGGTGATGTATCGGTCCCAGGGCAGTTAATTAAGGGTCGTCTGTGTAATTTGTTATTGCAATACACGGGCCACATAAGCCCCTGTGCACTGCGGGTTGTAAAAGACTATGATGGGCGGCTTGGCAGCTGTTGCTTTGTACGGCGCTGGCTGGAGTCGGATCGAGCCGACAGAAAATTAATGTGATGTCCATTAGTCCCGTGGGCCTTCGATCTTGTTGATTCATTAGTCAGTTCCACTTTGTAGACCGTGGAAATATATTATGCTTCTATTCGATATGCAAGTGCGAATTTGACGTCAGCGGTGCCTGGCTCGATAGCCCATAATGCATGTTACGTAAGTAAATGTCCTGTGGTATGACGCCATTTCTCTAAGTCCTAAACTCGTTATATTTGCTCTAAAATCACGACATGAGTCACTGCAAAAAAGTCCGGTAAAAAAAAGGATCGCAACAAGTTATTTATTTACTACGGATACTTTGATAACCAACTTATTGTCTTTCAATATCAACTAAGTGCGTCTGGTGTGGGTGCCGGTGGTTCGTAACGGAGTCTTTTCCTACTTGGAAGTAAAATAGACAGAGTCGGACGGGAAAGGGTCTGTTCCATTCATGCTACGCATTATGAGTGCCGTCGTTCTTTAATCTTTTTTCCTTTTCAGGCGTGAATTCGGCAGCGTTGAGCTGGACGTAGAGCAGAAGAAGAAGGAGGACAGAAGTATCGGCCTCACACGGATGAACGTCTCTGAGTTCCTATCTGTCTACAAGGAGAAGGATCTCTACGTGGTGCACAGCATTCAGGAGGAAATGAGACGTGAGTTCGCTTGACTGTCGCGAGAGTGTTCGTTCGGGGGAGGGTTGCGGCAGCTCGAACAGCTGTAGGCTGTTCTTTAGGAGGCTATGTTTTTTGGCGATCTATCGTTTTCTTTTGTACTAATGTAGGTAATGTCGGATCGGACCCCTCTGTAACCCCTCGGCAGGTGACCTGGCGCTGCTGCCCAGTGTGCAGTGACCTGACCTCTGTGTGACCTCTCTGACCCCTCTGTAACCCCTCGGCAGGTGACCTGGCGCTGCTGCCCAGTGTGCAGTGACGTGACCTCTGTGTGACCTCTCTGACCCCTCTGTAACCCCTCGGCAGGTGACCTGGCGCTGCTGCCCAGTGCGCAGTGCGGCGGCCTGCAGCGTCTGATGATGGACGCCGTGCTGTGGTTCAGCAGCGGGGGAACCAAGTCCGTACTGCACTACGACGAGCTCGACAACATTAACTGTGTCCTTGACGGATATAAACACTTCTTCCTGGTTGATGTTGTGAGTAATCCTGAAATAAATTCGTTTCTGGATGTTTAACGGCAGTGTGTCATCATGTTGCTTGTAGTCGTTTTTATTATTTGTTTGCTAAGAAGCATAAAGCATACTCAGTTTGTCGCCGGGGCCACTAGACAATTATAAGTCTCACAATATCCCTTGTTTGTTTCAGGATGACGCTCACCATATCGAGTTTGACCACATGGAAGGCCTGTACTCGTCTGTGGACGTCACCAGCGTGGACATGTACCGGTTCCCAGGTGAGTCCACTGTGGAATGTAGACCACAGTCCACTGTGGAGTGTGGACATAGTCCACCTCCACACGTCACGTGGACAAGTAAATGTTCCCAGGCGATTCCACTGTGGACTTCAATCCGTGCACAGCGGGGTCACGGGCTCCGTCGATACCTAATCCATTTTTGTCACTTTCGCTTGTGGCTGCCGTAAATTCGTCTGCAAGTCTGTTTTATTTTCCCTTTACGACCGTCGGGTTATGATATCGGTGGTCGGCAGTCAACAGCGTTACTGTCCACAGGATAGTTTATGGTGGCATTGTGGGTGAGTTGCCCTGGTTGTCGTCCAAACGATCGTCGTAAATTGGGTGACCTTTGCTGCAGCGACGGACATTAAAACTTGCCGTGTAAAATACTGCTATTGCTAGCGGTGTCATGGCTATAGCTGTTAAATCCACTGCCTTCTTGCATTGTGATGATGATGTTGTTTTGTTATTTGTTTTAGAGTTCCTTGCGTTGAAGCGTTGAAGTTTATGGTCATCGCATTTGTTGGCAGTGTCCCAAAATTTGTAGATGTGGGTGGGAAACGACATCCAAATGAAAATCATTTTCCACTCTCACCTCCAGTTTTCAAGCCCAATTTTCCACTCCCAATTCCACCGAGAAAGAGCAATTGCGTGAATGGTTATTATGCATCTGTCACAATCGTTGATAGATTAATGTTTTTGATCATTTTCCCACTCTTTTTGGACCTTACCTGACCGACAATTTTTCACTCTCATCCTTTTTTGGTCAGCAATTTTCCCCTCTGACACCCAAGCAAAAATATAATTTTGGGACACTGTTTGTTGGTAAGCCTTTGCAATGTCTTACGAGCCCTTGATACCTTCGCTATGAAGTCTTTGTACGACACTTCATACCGTGTGTCGTCAGTCCATATTCCGTGGCAGTTGGATTATACTGTTGAGCGGGAAAGGGCTTATTTCCTTATTGCTTATTTCCTATTCGTGGCAAGCTGTTTCTCTGGGTTCGGTGGCTACTTTGGCGCACTTCCCCTTGGTTTCCAACAGTAATATCTAAAACATTGAGGGACCACCAGAACTGTCACGGATTTCGCTTTTCGTACCTCTGTTAATGCTGCTCGGCTAGGTGTATTGTGAATTATGGTGGACGGTTGATCACAGGCATACGTTATCCACCGTCCAAAGACGTCCAACGACAGTATTTAAAGAGACCAATGCTGTTCACGCATTGTGTGATAGTGCTGTGCCAGTGTCGTGTCACGCTGCTGAATGAGACCGGCGACCTGACGGACTGTTGGCCCTTTCGGTGGGCTGCTCTTGCTAGTACGTAACCGTACCAATGCCCGGTAAGGCAGTTTGACAGGCTGAATAGGCCGGTCCCGTGGGACGTGCAGCCTTAACCCGCGCCCCGCTGGGGGGGGGGGCAGAATCTGCCCCCCCTCCCTTTTTTCGCCAATAACTTCTAAACGCGTTACGCCAGCGGCGTCAAACTTTCAGTACCTTATCATACATCAATTTGACACGTTCCCTGACAATTTGAGCGAAATCCGTCGGAAAATTTTTGAGAAATTGACGTTTTAGTGACGTCATGTTCGCCATTTTCGCCTCAAAAACGGCAAAATTTCAAACGCCGCTAACATCTTCATTTTTAATGAAATCAAGACGTAACAAAAAAGGTTATACGTGATTTTACTTTGTCTATCAAATGGCTATCTCGGTTTTTTGAAAATTTTAGATTTTGGCCAAAATTTTTCAAAAAAACTGACTTTTTTGGGAAAATATTTATAAAATCCAAAATTTTGAGTTTATCGAAAAAACCGGAATATATGTCAAAGAAGTGGTCTATGTGCACCTACATACCAATTTTTTGAAGAATCGGTTTAAAAATGTGGGAGTTATTCAAAATTTTATGACGTCACGACACACAAAAAAAATTGAAAAATGATTTTTTTGGAAGTTCTAGACCTCGTACGGAAAAAAATAGCACCATTCGATTCGCCGTGAAAAACTGCATCGAATAGACACCTTTTTAGGCCTTAACAACCAACTTCAAAATTTGACCTCACTTGACCTGACCTTGACCTGACCTCGACCTGAAATTCATCCAGAGGTGGTCCATATCACTTATTGAGTGTGCCTATTGAATTCCATGAGTAAAATGACCCATAAAACATGTGTCGCACATGCCCTTTTCTATATTTTGTTTTTGGTGACCTGACCTGACCTGACCTGACCTTGACCTTGACCTTTGAATGACATTGTGTGCAACGAATATTGTCTTGGTAGTCAAAGAACACGTTTTGGGCAATCAGTCTCAGTCCATTCTTCGGCAACTACGGTGCAAGGCCGATACTGTAGAAACTTGTATTTTGTACCCTTGACCTGACCTTGACCTGACCTCTGACCTACTTAAGCAAAAAAAATTGGGCTCTTAAGATCCGCCTTGTTGAGAGCTTTCGATTGCCGTTTTCCCCGTCTTTCTACGACCATCGGTTCGGAAGTTAGACAGGGGGGGGCAGAATCTGCCCCCCCCCCCCAGCAGGGCGCGTATGGCTGAATAGCCCAGCGGGGCGCGGGTTAACCCTATTCCTGGCGGGCTCCGCCGGGACAAGAAACTGGCGGGGGGGGCCGATTCGGCCCCCCCCCTGAGATCTCGAGAACGAAGCAAGATAGCGACAAACGGTAAACGGCATCGGATACGCACGGTCAAGATCTACAATTTTTACTAAGGTCATTTTCAGGTCAGGTCAAAGATGACGTCACAGGGGTCGAAAAAGTCAAAATGGCGGCGCTAGATATGGAGAGAGTTTTTCTCGAATAACTTTCGAATTAGTCAAGATAGGAACAAACTAAGGGCATCATCGTGATCCTCTCGTCAATCCGCATCGAATGATATATGTTGACCTCGCAAGGTCAAGGTCAAAGGTTGACCTTAGGTCACGTGACCTCGAGGTCATCATGTATATCATTCGATGCGTCTTGACGAGCTGAACACAATGAGACCATCCACGCGTCTGTATCTTGTTCCTGTACGGAGTTATTGGCCAAAAACCTTTGGTGACCTTTGATGACGTCACATGACCTCACAGCTGCCCAACAGCAAAACAGACCTCAAGGTAGTGAAGGTTGATCGTATATGAAGTCATGTATGGTATATGGGGCCATTCCGACCCGTTTTAGTGGTAAAAACAGGGAGTTGATTTTTCCCCCATTGACTTATAATGGGGAGGTCGCGAAACTGACCTGACCTTAGGTCACCGATATCAAAATTCCGAGATATACAAATTGCACATACTGGTACCCTAACTAAAGCCTGAAGAGAAGAAATCGATCGGTCAAAAACTCTAGCTCTGGCGTGATTGCAAACTTTTCTGAGGTAGGGTCACCAAACCGCCTCTGGTGACCTGACCTGAGGTCAGATCAACTCAAAATTTTCAGACATGTTGCGTAGAAGCCTTTTAGGAAAAGTCAGAAAATTTGAGCTTCCTAGCTCAACGCGTTTGGGAGAAATAACCAAAAAACCTCAGGGGGGGGGCTCCTGAGGCCCCCCCCCCCGCCAGGAATAGGGTTAAAGTAGCGAACATATGGTGTGGTTACCGATAAAAAATCCAATGTTGTTGACAGTAACATTGATAGGCCTCCTGGTTGCATGTACTGTCATTTTGCACGGGTTATTAAAAAGTTTTTGACGGACTAGCTTTGTTAGGTTCTAGCTACATAGCTGTTTGATCTAGCGGTCATCCAATTAACCGATAAGAATCGAATGTCGTTTGCCTTATCCACGGTGAGTTCTTGCACGGAACATTAGCTCAGTGTCCACGTTGGGAGCCAGCGGCGCCTTGTATGATAATTAGATTTCACTAATCCAGTGCTATATGCAAATTGCATATCATGGTCATTCCGTATGCCTATAAGCTATATGACATCGTCGCATTTCCTTTTTATTGTCATTGTTTTCAGCACAATCGATAAACATTTAAGGTCGTGACATTCTGGTAACATTTGATAACGTGACGCATTCAATAACCCATCAATAACGAATAACTCGCCAATCAGAAAGTGTGCTATTCCATTCGGCGCCAGGTTGGGGTCTACCCGTAAGTGGCGCTGCACGTTTTACGCTGATTGCGGATCGCTAAGGGAGCGGGGGGTGTCGCGTCCTTACAGCGCCCGGTCGATTAGGGTCGGAGTCGCGGAGTCCGTCGGCCCGTGGTGATATAAAGCAGACACACTGGGCTGCTAGGAGGAGGAGGAGCTACCCTGGCAGGGGTCAGGGCTGGCCGGTCACGGATAGGCCCAGGGACTCCAAAAAATAGGGCCGAATGGAATCCGGGAACGACTGGAGGATTCCAGAGATCGGCAGAGTGATGATTAAATGGGCTGCTAGATTATCACATGAGCACTGATAGTGTCAGACCGTAAATGCTTGCCGGTTATGTCCATGGTTATGCGCGTATACACTTCCTAGAAACGAACCTCATTGCCCCGTTGAGTTCCTGTGTTTGGCCGCATAACAGCTGCAATAACGGCCGGTTGTTCAAGTTGTGAACTTCGGGGAAACTTCGTTGTTTTATTTGTCTTGCTTTTATATTAACTATTTCCGCATGCCAGTGGATCATTATTTCAGAGATGGTGGTTGAGTCCATCATGAGTCCATGACTGCCCACTTAGCAACATTGCTATAATCTCTTTGCGCCGTAATTGAAGCCCGGGACTTTGCCTTTCATCGTCGTCTATAAGAACTTGGACAGTTTACGGCTGGGACTGTTGTAATTTCAGTCACTGCCCACTAAGTGATGTCGGTGGACCACCCGGCTAGAAGATTGAAGCTTAGTATTTGAACATTTAACGTGCGTTTTTTACTCGGACCGTCTGTTGGAAGTGGGCATAGGTGGAAGGCTGTTATTAGAACTTTGTCAACCGGGCTCTTATTTTAGAATAATTTCAGAATCTGATCATTAGCACGATTTACGATTATAATAGTAATATAGTAATAGTAATAGTAATATATAGTAGCCAAAATACATACGATTAATCATTATCAAGGTCTCGCCACCGGTCGTCACAGGATTCAATACACCATTCTCGGCTTGCACGGAGCCGCTGGTTAACTACATGTGCAGAGCGAGTTTTCATTCGCTCTGAGTGAATTCGTCGCCAAAGTCGGCGTTGCACCTCCGTCAGTCAGGCTCTGTGCATGTCCAGACTGCTGTTTTGGCCTGTGACGGCATAGCATTCACCTCTAGAGTTTATCGCCCACAACCGTCCACTTACGGTCAATTTACATGATGTCCGCACGTGGGGGTCGTTGGGAATCGGACCCGATGTTGGTTTGTACTTGGTTTTATTAGCAATGCCCTATTGCAATATATAATTTGAGAAACTGTAGCATTCAGTATTCGTATTGTCATGAAAACGTTCATAGTCCAGCCATTCACTGGCGGCCTCTGACCGGCGAACATTTGTGATCGGTCATAATAATCGAAATCAAATGTGACTGTAATTGGCCCTTTGATATGTGATCTGTTGGTCTGGAATCTGGATGCCTGGGTTCGTATCTGCTCTGCACACGTTTGTCCATCAGGTGCCAGTGTCTGTCAGAAAGTTCGCCTTTTGGCTGCATGTGCTTGGATAAGAAGCTTTGTGTAAGAAGCATTCTGGATACCTTCTTTCAGTGACCTCCATTTGTAAAAGTATGTATGTACGTGTGAAGAAAATGTGTCCAAGATGTATCCGTCCGACATACACACGTTTCTATTGAGCGTGTCTTTATTGGTCGGTAGTGTCTGTTGCACATTTGTCCTTTGGTCACCGTCGTCTATGGTGCGCATGTCTGTCAGGCTGCTATGCATGCATTTGTTAGTCACATAGTAGGGGAGAGTGGGGCACATTCGTGCAAAAAATGGATAAACCCATATATCTGTTCTTTGGTTAGTGCAATGGCAAAATTGTTGATTGTAGTATGGAAAGGCACTATTGCAGATAGTTTTCCTCTTTAAAAGTTATCCTATAAAATTATTACTTCCATTAGAAAAAATGACTTTTATTAACTCTGAACATTTGCACGAAACTGCCCCACCTATGGGGCACATTCGTTCAAGAGATGGGGCACTTCCGTTCACCCGGCAAAATTCGAGAAATTACCGGGCATTACCAGAAATTTACCAAAGGAAATTGGCAGGGGGTTATTTCACCTGATTCCTTTCGACAAGAATGCATTGCACAACAAATGTAGAAAGAATGGGCTGGCCAACAAGAATGTGCCAACTGCCGGCCTCCGTGACCTCGCTAAGTTCGCGTGAATTGCTCGTCACGACGTCGCAAGCAGTCGAGACTGAGTCAGGCGAGCGTCATTAGAGAAACCTACTACAGATAAAGTCATAAATCGCAAAACTAAAAAAAAAATATGCACGAATGTGCCCCCAGGCAGTGCGTACACGAACCTGCCCCACAACGTTATTAGTAATATATTTCAAAATTTCTTTTTGAAAAAATGACACTTTTTCAACAAACAAGTTTGCAGCAGTTCCGTGAATAGAGTGGGCTTCTTCATCCCCAATTTTGAAAAGCTGAACCACATTTCCGAGTCAGGATCACGAAAATGGATGATATGAGAAAAGTTTGGAAAGCTCACGAATATTACAAATTTGCGTTTTTATCAAGCATAACAGCAGGTACAGTGTTGTCTTCTACGGTGAACGAAGGGCGGCAATGATAGACATATTTCCATAATTTACCTTGAGCTCGTGCAGTCACTCGTGTTCCCATAAACTGCTGAAAACGAATGTGCCCCATGCACGAATGTGCCCCACTCTCCCCTACCCGCTGTCCGTTCGCCAGGCCTGAGGGACGTGCCGTGGTACAACGTGACCCTCTGGAAGGGCGACTGTTTCTACCTGCCGTTCAGGTGGCCGCACCACGTCATATCGTCCAACTCTAGGTGAGCAGCCATCTCGGCAAGCCGGGATGGGCGCCGGTGGCGGGACTGTTGTGCTGACGATAACGTATGAACAAACTACAAACATGAAAGTGGAGAGGTTCTTAAGTGCATGGCAGGGCTGCGGAGTCGATGGATTTTCGGCGACTCCGACTCCGACTCAAGCTTTCAAAAACCAGCTCCGACTCCGACTCCGACTCCGGGCAGAATTGTCGACTCCGACCGACTCCAACTCCCGACTCCGACTCCGCAGACCTAGCAGGGCTGCGGAGTCGACAGATTTTCGGTGACTCCGACTCCGACTCCGGCTCGGGTTTCTAAAATCGACTCCGACTCCGACTCCGACTCCGGTCACAACTGTCGACTCCGACCGACTCCGACTCCGACTCCGACTCCGACTCCGCAGCCCTGGTGCATGGTGCCTTGCACTCCTGGCAAGTGCACTTTGAAGTGTATTAGCAGAATATAGGGCAATATACTGTCACGTGTGCTGATGTGTTGCTAAGTGTGACAGCTTTATGCAACCACACGTCTGACGCTGCTATACAGTCAAGTAGTTTGATATAGGGTATGGCTTGTGACCGGAATTGGACAGTGTATTTATGTGTGGTTTCGGCTGGTGCCCCTATGTGTGCTGATAGGTGATTATTAGTCGTTTTAATGTCATTAACCAATAACCGGTATCAAAGGTCTGGATTTGGTGTCGGGGCACTCAGCGGCCAGCCTCGACCCGGCGTCGTCAGTAAGGCCGCCGTTATTTCCACTGTAGCTCTGAATAATTACCGTTTGCCAGCGAGTAAAGCGAGTGTTGAGTTTCTGGGACATTTGGTGAATTATTCCTGTAGTCAAGCTTGTCATTTATTCTGGTTGGGGCCTAGGGTTGTAAAGCTGCCCGCAAATATACTGTGTAGTTGAATGGGAACTTTTATTTCCAGTAAGTATGAACCAATCATTCAATGTGCAACGTGATCATGGATGACTTCGACTTGGCTCAATATCCCCTACCTATATTTACGTGCTTTGCGGTTCAGCCTCAGAGGTTGGTTAGACTGTGCCGCATGGCTCGGCTGCGCTGCGGGTCAGCCTACCCTGCCAGTGAAGCTGACAATCAGCTCAATTTGACCTGCTTTCATCGAGTTCGTGCTGCCTGGGCTGTGATGACTATGTACTTATGTAGTGTGGACGTTCTAAGTACATGTTTTGGATTTTTCTGTCTGTTCGGTTGGTCACTATAATTTTCATCACCAACTTAACCATTATCGCCATTATCTTACATATCACGGTCGTTAACGCTCAGACCCCGTGCCATAGTAGATGGTCCAACCCTGAATAGCCACGACACAGTTGATGCTCAATGTTTCATGCATCGGATATTTGATCTTCTAGGTCAGTGCTTGAATCCTAATAAATACGACAGGGCGTATCGATCAGATTTTAGGGTCGTTGGCTTGGACATAATGCTTTCTTGAAAAGCCCTGTGGTGGCTTCTTCCCAAGGAATCAAACTAACGCATTCTAAAATGTAGAGCTATTTTTTTCATTTTTCATTAGTGATATGCATCGGGTGATCAGCTATTGAGTGGATTTCGATTGGACGATTCCCAATGACAAATGGTCCGAGTCGGTTGGATACTGTGCATACGTTGGAATGCTGTTTCAATGTTGTTTCGTCCTGCGTTACGTCACTGAAAATCATTACATTACCTCGCCGCATTGGAATGTAGTGCATGAGATACCGAATGCTAGAACATTGTACTGTCTACCTGAAATTATAGGCCCTAAATTACGTCAAAGAGGGGAAGAGCAGATTATGATGTGTGCCCTATTGGCTGCAGCTCTGGTCAAGAACAAGGGACGGCAGTCAGGTGTCAGCTTGCCAAGTTACACCATTTCCCCGTGATTGGATTGTCCCGATGCCAGTGTCTCTTTTAACTGATTACAACTGCGGGCCATGAATTCGCATTGCAACTCCAGGGAATTAGACATGAATAAATGATAGTCTTCGGTTCACTGATGGGATGAATGAAAGTTGTGGATCGCTTTAACCCTCGCCGGACCTATTGGTTTTCTACATACGCGCCGGCCGAGGGGGGGGGGGGCGGGTACGACCCCCCTTGCCGTTTCGCCCCTGGTGGAGCTAGCGCGTCGCGGAAAAAACGAGCGTGTGCGCCGTTACGAGACGCAGAGATTGGTACCCGATTTTAAGGTCCTAGGTCAACCGGTGACCTCTGAGGTCAGGTCAAGTGCCCCAGGGTACGGTTCAGTTTTTGGTGAAAACTTCGCAAAAAACGGCCGCAGAGCCGCGATTTTGGCAGCATCGTGTTCGCCTTGCTCAGGCGCGTCGAATGATATACTTTTTGTTCGGGTCAGGTCAACTTAGGGTGTTGACCTCAGGTAAAGGTCAGGTCAGCACCCCCAGGTCACGAAGTTGGTCGAAAGAGGTCATGTCGCATATCATTCGATTCGGCAGGTCTTCCTGAGTCCATTGGTGGCTTTCCCGACTCGCTAGATTAATTTGATCGGGAGTTATTGACGAAAAACTAATATGACCTTGATGACGTCATAAATGACGTCACGGAAGGTCAACATTGCAAAAGTGACGCATCTAACCTTGCAAGGAGTGCATCAAATCACGATTCTGTGTGCTTGAGATAGTTGGAGATCGTTTCCGGCGCCAGAATAGCAGTTTTCATTTTTCCCCATTGACTTATAATGGTGAGGTCACAAAAATGACCTGACCTCATATGACCTTTAGGAAAAATCCGAGATATACAAGTTTTGAGACTCATAATGGATACTAGATCCTGCAAGTTTCATTTCCCTGTGACATCTCCTCTGGCAGTGAGGGCGTTGCGAAGTTGCGACATCTGAAGACCGTGCAGAGGTTCACTTATGACGTCATAGGTCAGTGACCTGACCTGACCCAAAAATGCGGTTGGTGTCAAAAGATGCGGCTTGGATCAAAGGTCAGGTATGCCAAGTTTCAGCTCTCTATCCCCAGCGTGTTCGGAGCTATCGCGAAAAACCCCTATGGGGGGGGGGCGGCACCCGCCCCCCCCCCCCCCTCGGCCGGCGAGGGTTAACTTGACTGCCCATGGAGTGGCCCGTTAGAATCCGTTGTTCCTCATGTTGAGTAGCCAGCGTGGCGGTCAGGTCACCTAGCCTGTCGTGTCCCCATACGGACCAATTTACGCCCCTTCAGGCACGGTTGGCCGGTATCGCCGCCATTCCGTGTCGTGCGCCACTTTCGAAGGCGGCGCGGCGGGAATCGTCTGGCATTGATCGTTGCCGTGAACGTCAGCCGCGCGCCTGCTGTTCAAATAGCCGCGGAACAGGCCTACCAAGGCGCGCCGTGGCCGTGGCCGCCGCTGGAATGTGCCGCCGTTGTCGTCATTATATTTGTAGGCGGTGGGCAGTTCGTCGAGCGCTGATCGGTGTGGGGGGGGGGGGGGTCGAACGGGGTCGAACGGGGACTGACGCGGCGTGACATGCTGTGTGTGCGTGATCGCGTGAACTTACCGAAACTGCTGTCGTCATCTTTGGCTCCGTGGGTTGCCGTTGGTAGACTGCACACTGCCGATGGCTACAATGCTCAACATTACGTAACTGTATAGAGGGAGCCGTCTATATAATGTCATCTGTCCTTCTCTGGGTATGCTTTCTTTTTCTCTTTTCTTTTTCTCTTTCTTACGCCGCTTTCGTCTCTCTTCCCGATAGGAACGTGGCTGTGAACTTGTGGTTCTCCCGACTTCTGTGGTTCAACGAGTCTGAATGTTCCGACTTTCGGGTCAGCGAGCACGCCAGTCTGAGCGACTTTGATCCGGCAGAGGACGCAGACCTACAACGGTGAGTATCCAGGTCACTGATCTGGAGCTAGCGGCGAGTGTCACAGAACTGGGCTGGAGTTTCAGTAGTGTATGCCCCCTAAACTGCAGACATGAACTTCCTGCATGGGGTGGGGTTCCAGCGCTGACTTTCCACTTGGATTAGTGGTCCGTAGGTGAATGCGCACCGAATGGGGGACGGTCGATAGACCAAGGGAGCGCCATTGCGTGAACCGAATGCTGACTAAATACTGGTATTGCTATTCGATGCTGGCATTAGTCAGTGAGATCGCCTCTCTCTCTTGCGCTCTGTCGATATACATATCATGGCGTCCGTATACTACCGCTTGTCCTTGCTGACCTTAGGTATATATAAAATAGCATGTACCTATCTCGAATGACCCCCTTCCTCAACTCCAAGGACTTCTGGGTGTTAGTCCTCGCTGACCATGTTTGACCCCCTTTGACCTCTGTTTACCTTCGATGACCTCTGTTAACCCCCGCTGACCTCCACTGACCCCGCTGACCTCTGCTCCCTCAGGGCACACCTGGTGGCGCGGGCCGAGGACTCTGAACAGCTCACTCTGTTGGCTTTCGCCGACCTGTACTCCGACGCGCTGCCCGACGACGATGAGGCAGCTGAGGCGGCGTTTGATCAGCTGGACGCTGACGGAGACGGCCTTTTGCAGCTCCCCGAGATGTACAAGTTTGAGGCGGTCAAGTTTCTGCGGCTCTTCCCGAGGTACGAGCGGCGTGATTGACCGAGACACGTGACTGGTGCTTCTGGTCCGTGTGCTCTGGGACCGCGGTCTAGGGACCTGTTCCTGTCACGTGACCACGGACTGACTGATACTGGGCTGGGTGTGCAGGATTCGGAGCTCTAGGCTCCTGTTCTACGTGTCACGTGACTGACCTTGGCCGCACCGAGTGTCCTGGGACCGCGGTCTTGTGTGCAATGTGTTCAAACGTGGACATAATTGCCACGGCAAGCTGTGATCTTTGAATGAAACCGACTCCGTCCATATCTGTCGGTAGTGTCTGTATTTTTGAAAACTTTTTGCGAAGATAATGCTTTGTATTCATGGCATAATTACATACCGTTGTGTGGACCGGCATGGTTTATGTGCGCATATATTGTAAGATTACAGCTTATTATCCAGTGGTCGTCTTACCACCGATCATGGGTATGTTCACTGCAGCCGTGTTGTGGGTACTTTGGCATTTGTAACGGTTGTGATTACACGCTTCCGTGCTAGTCGAGGAAGTTTTCCGTCCATTTATTATAGATGCGATGTTCATTGTTCACTATGGTGCAGGTAAAAGTACTCACCCGCTCGTATAAGGTTCACTGGATTTGTGCTGACCTTCCGGCTTCTGTAAGGCTACGCTGAAGTGTAAGTGGAGTGCGCTTTCAGCGGGAATGCTGGTTACCGTAAGAATTTGTGTTAAATCAATCCAGCAATGAGCTTTTTCGAGTTAATCGCTATTGGTAAGTGCAGCGTCGCGCTCAGACTAATTTATTGTGTAACATTAACCGCGTAGGCTGCATCGTCGAAGCTTTCTTGTTTTCGCCCTTGTATCACTCCCGTTGAAAACTTGCTCGATGTGGTTAATCGAAGGTAAATACGAGTGGCCGTCAGCCCTGCCTCGGCTGTCGTGTGTGATTGCTGTACAACAAACCACTCGTGTGTGTCCTGTGCAAATAACACTCTTTGATCGGCGGTGACAGGGGGCGGGCACCCAGTGGGGGGGGGGGGGGTACTCAAACCTTTTGATCTGAACGGCAGCTCGGTGCCTGTGAAGGACTGTACCGTGGTCACTCAGACTGACCCGGTATCTGTGACCGCTGTGCACCACCTTGTCGACATAGGTTGGAGCTCGGGCGCTCAATACATCGTCCGTATCGCATATGTGTGTGCTGGTGGCCAATTTTCGGTTGGTAAATACATTACCAAACGTACTAATTACAGACTGTTTCGATGATGACCCGTGTGGTGGTGGTGAAAAGAAGAGGAAGGACTGAGGTGGTCGAGCATTGTTGGGATCCTCATGGTTAAATCGTGTGCTGATCGAGCCTCGATGGTTGCAAATTTCCGGGCACAGTCCATACGTCCGACTCACATATTTAGGTTTGTGAACCTCACTGAGAAGGCACGTATGTGGAAATGCTGGCTTTCTAAAGACGTTTCTGAAACAATTGCTATCTATTGTGATTCGTAGGAAAATTTATATCTCACATGATCCTATTTTATGCGTTGTCAGTTCATTCTAAATTGGAAGGTATTGGTGTAAGTAATCTTAATAATAACACTATGCAACAAAAAATGAAACATTTTCTGTTCCTGGAAAGCGACCGAATTTTTCTTATTCATTGGGTCCTATTATAACCGAAATGGGCATTAGTTTTGATCTGAAAATGCTTTTCCGGTTTTCAGAGACGATTTTCGATTTTTGGCCCCGAAATTCGGTTTTTGGCCCACCGTGTCCGATGTAATTGAGTAATCGACTCGCGGTAACTTTCATCGCCTTTCCTATGCCACAAGCTTTCGAATGATATCTGGTTTTGCATATTTGCGTGCAAAAATAACGTCATAAATCTATGTTAAAGTAAGAAAATGTTGAAATTTTGTAAAAATTTGACATTTTTTCGATTTCATTTCAAAATAGAGGAAAAACTAAAGGCCCCATCCAAATTCTGAGCCCAGTTCCTTGACGAGCATTCAATTTCCGTTCGGAAGGTACATTTTTAGTGCATTTTATCGGATTCCTGTGGCGTCCAGATTGAGTTAACCTAAACACATATCCTAAGTCATATCACATAGCATTAACCTGATAACGTATGTTAACGCCATAGGATCAACGAGGGGTCAACTGAGGTAAATTTGTTGACCCCTTGTGACCTCGGGTCACACGCAGGAACTTACTTTTGAGCAGTCCTGTCGCTCAGAATCTTGATCTGTTGGGGACCCGTTTTTCAAGTGACTCAATCTGGACGCCACAGGAATCCGATAAAATGCACTAAAATAGTACCTTCCGAACGGAAATTGAATGCTCTTCAAGGAACTGGGCTCAGAATTTGGATAGGGCCTTTAGTTTTTTCTCTATTTTAAAATGAAGTCGAAAAAATGTCAAATTTTTACAAAATTTCAATATTTTCTTACTTTAACATAGATTTATGACGTTATTTTTACACGCAAATATGCAAAACCGGATATCATTCGAAAGCTTGTGGCATAGGAAGGGCGATGAAAGTTACCGCGAGTCGATTACTCAATTACACCGGACACGGTGGGCCAAAAACCGAATTTCGGGGCCAAAAATCGAAAATCGTCTCTGAAAACCGGAAAAGCATTTTCAGATCAAAACTAATGCCCATTTCGGTTATAATGGGACCCAATGAGTCCAAAAAAAAATCGGTCGTTACTCAGGAACAAAATGACTGTTGCATAGTGTAATGGGTGTTCGCCCAGGCTAGTTTGGTTTATCGTGTGAATTACAAGATACCCAGCTGCTCTGTTGCGTGTTTTCTTCTTCTTTTGTTTCGTTTCTGTACTGTCAGCCTATCACACAACATAGCCTTCCGGAGACCCATGCATCACTACAAAAAGTGCTACCCGGGACAGGTGGTTATCCAGATCGTGTCACATCCTAAACTACCCATTACGGACGCTCGCGTGGCCAGGCTGATTTATTATAGTATCACTCATTCCATAGCACATATGCATGGCCTATCATTAGCCCGGGCGACCCAACGTGTGTACTGTGTATGCTATACAAAGGACAGTGTTGGCAGTGGTGATTGATGCCATTCCTCGTCGCGCCAGTGTTATTTATACACTTGCTCGGTGGGCGAACCGTACCGTCCCGCTGCTCGTCAGGGGTCGCTGGATGCCACCCTCTGTGCGCCAATGAGCAGCCGTGTCCAGCTAACCCAGCCGGTAACAAAGTAGCGTACCACAGTCCGCGACAGCCGTCGGTAATCAAGGGAGCAATCTTATAAAGTGGCACCCTTCGTTATTCGCCAACTTGGCAACATTAGGGTGTAATTGTACACTTGACGCAGTGACTGATGCATTTATAAGGTTATGTTACCAACACCAACGTCAGGAATTATGTATCATGTATTCTTACCAAATGCCCGCTAACTGCTTCGTGCTATATGAGATAGCTCTAAATTCATTCAAAATATATTGTATTGAACGCTGTTTTGTGGCAGATCATTCCAGTCAGAGTTGCAAATCATTAACCCGCGCCGGGCCGGGGGGGGGGGTGTTTGAACACCCCCCTTGCGGTTTTTCGCAGATATCTCAAAAACGGCGGCGCAGAGCGCCGCTCTGCGCCGCCGTTTTTGGCACACCTGTTTGTGCATCTTTTCCGCACATGTTGTGAAAATTTCAGACCCAGGTCACCTTAGGTCAGGTCATCAGGTCACGCCAAGTGACCTCACCTCAGAAAAAATAAGAATGCTCGTCATAGCTACACCGACTGAACGATTGCCTTGAAACTTTCAGCGATTGATTAGAGCAACACTATCTATAAAATGTATATCTCGGAATTTTGATATCGGTGACCTAAGGTCAGGTCAAATTTGCGGCCTCTCCATTATAAGGCAATGGGAGAAAATTGAAAAGCGTCTGTTTTGCACGAACGCTATTCTAGACACTCTCAAACATCGAGATGTAGGTAAAATAGATACACTGAACCAGAAAATGGCAACTGTGACCCCTCGTTATGTCCCCGAGGTCATCTCAGGTCACGAACAGAATCTAACAGTTTTTCGATGATAACTTCTGATAGAGGCGTGCTAGAGCGCTGAAAACGCCTTAGATGTGTTCGGCTCGACGTTGCGGATCGACTGATATGCAACATGACCTTTTCCGGTCAGGTCATGACCTTGACCTGAGGTCAAATTTTCAAGTTGACCTTTCAAGGTCAAATTATACTTCATTCGACGCGTCTCGACGAGAGGAACACGATGCTGGCAAAAGTAATGTCATAGCTCTTTTGAGTCAAAAGTTATTGCCGAAAAAAACATTTTTCGTAAAAACGGCTATTTTTGGAGTTTTTGCCCTCTGGAGGCTAAATCGTTGACCTGAGGTCAAATCTGAGAGCATTACTCAGAAAGGTCTGTAAAAGGGCTATCGAATGCGCTTTTTTGCGGCGCTGTAGCTCTATCGGTTCCCGAGATAGCCGTTGGCAGTTTCCAAAATGTTGAAATAGTCAACATTTTACCTTTGGTGACCTCTGGTGACCTGACCTTTGACCTGACCCAAAAAATGACCGAAGTGTTTTCGTCCTTATTTTTGACGTTCTTTCGATTGCCGCTTACCGCGTGTCGCTACGTGGCCCAGGAGCCGAGTTAGAGGGGGGAGGGGTGTTCAAACACCCCCCGCGGCCCGGCACGGAATCTCAGAGCACCGGCCCGGCGCGGGTTAACCACGCCACTCGTAAATACCTATTGGGCAGCAGGAAGTGATACTCTGAGGCTTCAGCTGTTCAAATAACTGAACGGCTATGATACCTTGGCTCCGACTGCGTTGCTTATTGTCATTGCTGCATGTTATATAACCACCGCCGTCCTATCCTCATTGCAGACTTGCTTACTCCTTTAGCCATGAAGAGCGGTGCAACCGCTAGATGCAGTGCACTGCTGGTCAAGCAATGGTCACGTCAAAAAGTGACCGGGTCAACATCATTGAGTCACCGGTGTGTTGTGACTGACCGTCCTAAGATGGAGTCCCTGGTCCATCTCAAACTCCGTCAGATGGGCTCTTGCGGCGGTGACGATGGTGCCTCTGTGCCGTAGACGGGCGGTCGGGACGCGCGGTTCACGGCAGACTTCTCCTCCGGTTCGTCTTTGAGGGTTTCGTAATGGGCGCTGGCCCTCCTGCTAACCGGTAGAGTACCCTGTTCAAACATCTCCTCAATCTCAGAGAGCGTCTTACCCTTGGTCTCTGGCACCAGCAGGAAACCGAGTACAGCGAACAGTGCACACGTGCTGGCGTACAAGAAACATAACCCGAAGAAGTTGAGCGCGTCGCGCAGCTGGAAGAAGGTCTTGCCGACGGCGAAGCTGGCGATCCACATGATCATGGACTGGAGTGGCGAGATGATGGTACGATAGCGGAGCGGGATCATTTCGCCCATGATGACCATGCCGACCGGGCCGATGCCAATGTTGTAGACAAACAGCGCCACGGAGAAGCCGAGGATGGCCACCCAGTCGGTGGCGATGGGGTCACTCACGAGCAGAGCCGCGGAGCCGATGGCCACCCAGCAGATACCACAGGTCAGCATGGCGAGCAGAAACAGCGGCCGGCGGCCGGCGCGGTCCATGAGGACAAACGCCAGTACGGAGCCGACCGAGCTGAGCGCCGTGCTCACCACGGAGGCCTGGAGAGGATCGGCGCTGCCGCCCACCGCCACAAACATGTCATAGCTATAGAGGTGGATGGCAGGTGTGCCCGAGGTGGCCTTACATAGTGTGACGGTAACGCTGACGAGGAGTGGCAGGTAGAACGCGCGTCTGCGCAGCTCAGACACCGGCGGTAGGTCCGGGTTGTGCGCCGTGCTGCGCTCTTTGATGCGCGCCAGCTCGGTCTCGGCGCCGGCAGCGTCACCAGAGTAGAAGAGCAGCGAGCGCCGCGCCTCCTGGTCACGGCCGTGCGTGGCCAGCCAGTTGGGCGTCTCGGGCAGCGGCCACAGCAGCAGCGGGTACAGGCCGTAGAAGGCGGCGATGAAGCCGCCGATCTGCTGCCAGCTGAGGGCTAATCCCAGGCTGTACACGGTGATGAGTCCGATGTTGATGCCGAACATGCCGGCGCCGACGAGTGCGCCGCGCAGCTCGGGCGCCACCGTCTCGCTAATGAAGATGTGCGGCATTGGCAGCACTGAGCCCATGCACACGCCGTTCACGAAGCGGCCGGCCAGCAGCATGGCCACGCTGTTGGGGAACGTGATGAGCA